GTCTTAAGTTTTTGTCAAACCTGCATATAATTTCACAACTGAATATCCCGTTTCCTCTCTATTACAATACGTGTGCTTTCGGCCAGATGTCACACCTTGTGCCTTTCACCTTCCTCTTATCGTAGAACCTGTCTCTTTATGAAAAGAGAAACCAGACTTAAAGAATGTAGTCTTTGTTAAAACAAGGCCAACCGACAGCAAGGTGCATGAAATGATAAAAATTTGAAAACAGGTTTGTTCCTCTCACCACTGAGAAACATTGACACTGACTTAAATCAGTGATAATTGCAACAATGTTATGACACTATATAATGATATTATATTATTTATAACACTTGTCTTATCACATAATTTTTAAATAATTTTTTTTAATCTTCTGTCGGTAAACCAGAATACATTATGTTATATTTGTATTGAAACGTTTAACATCTAGTATACTGGTCCCAAAAATAATGAGTCAGAGAATCAACATTATTCGTTCGGTTGAACCCACTGCTTAAATACGACACACAATACTCCGTGGAGTAGAGAGCCTAATCCAGGCGGACACCTTATTGCCAACACACAATAGGATCGTATTGTATAGCACACTAAAAGATTACCAAGGTTAAGTGCATTGCTAGAAAAATACCATCACTCTGAACATAAAACACGCTGTCATTTATGGTACAGTGCACAGTCGGTAAGGTTGTTCATTGCTACATGTACAAACTCAAATCATTATTTTTTCATATATTAAGTCTTTATTCATTGTTGGCTAGTCTAATCTTTCATTAATCTCCCATCAGAAAAAATTACTCTTGAGTAATGTAATGTTGGGTTAAAAAGATATTTCCAAAGACGTTGTAGCATAGNAATCATCTATTAAATGTGCAAGCTTCGCATGGAAATTCATTGTTTACATCGATCAGATGTAGGTCAAGTTATCACGTGACCCCTTGCCGTTGCTTTGATTGGTTTAAAGGGTAGAACGGCAGCATTTGGAACTACTCGGATGTCTCCGCACTCGACAGTCGAGGATTGCCGATTGGAACGGCAGGGCTATTCATTTTGATGTTTTGGCATAAATACCATCGCAATTATCTATATGTTGGCGCATCCTACGGTTGCCGAATTTATTGTGGATATTTTTTAACTGTTTATCTTCATGGCACCGTGAAAATTGTTTGGCCACTGGAGCTTTTCACACAATGAAACGATAGACCAGTGTAGGTAAGCGACTATAGCGTTACTTTTGAGGGAAATGATTCGGAGTTGGTAAATCGGATCAATTTGGGAAATAGTTTCAGTAAGTTTTATTTAATCATGGCATAAACATACTTTGGACGAAGAAGGCGTTATCATATCATGAATAAATGATAATGATAATACAATAATCTGCCATTGGGGAGTATTGCGTGGAAATGAAGAGATATCGAGCGGTGGCTAAAAGCCTGCATAGGACGAATGCATGGGACAAGCGAAGGGGGGGTACGTGAATGCGAAGGAGAACCTTTCGGAGCGCCAAGTCATTCCGACTCATTGCTTTACCTCGTACTGCGGACCCACCTGATTGAATGCAATCAGCAATTTCGTCACCACGAGTACGGGACGAATCTTAGCCTTGCTCTGAACTAATCTCAATGGCCACTGTGTAAATGGGCCCTGATTTACCGCGTCTGATTTCCAGGTCCCAAACATCGAGACCACCTGTCGTATTTACCTGTTGACACAGACTACAGCTTTCCACGCAGGTGTGTCTGGAGGTGTTTAATTTTGTACTTAAAAGACCGAAATAAAATCCAAAATTGTATTCACAAATAAAGCTTTAATTACCTGTGATACAGGACACGTCCCCGCTAACTATCTCTTTGATTCCACTTTGCAGCACAGACTTACGGTGTGGTTGATTTTACTGCGTTTGACAAAAGAACTTTTAAAGAAGCTGGGGTTATTTTCCAGCTGAACACAAAACGCCGTTATAAAGGAAATACCACAAGTTTTACACACAGAGTCCCGAGCAAACCACTAATTGCAATGCCGCTATTCTATATGGTCTATCTGATTTTTTCGAGGATAAAAAAGTATATATTTTAAAAGAAAACTAATCATGCTTGAGAGAGAGAGAGAGAGAGGGAGAGAGAGAGGGCTGCTGCTCAACCGAAATATTTCTATAAACTGTATAGCATAAGATAAATCCCGAAAGGAAAGCAATTTATCGTCAAGGAAGTTCCATCTAGATAGATACAACAATCTACCAGTTCAAGTTCTTAGACGGGATACTCCACATTCATTGCTTCACGCAAATCAAATAATACTGCAGCTTGAAGATCCGTCTGATTTCCTTGAATCTGCTATAATTGTGTCGTTTGCCAATTGATTTCTCGCGCTTTGTTGCTTGCTTTGTGTAGAACAATCATTCACTTGTGTTAAAACAAATATGAAGTGAAATCGGAAAATGCTTTCAGGGAACTAGAGAATTATCTACCAAGAGAAAACCAAGATACTCATTGATATTGATTCACCATCCACTAACAGCCCGGACCTTTCTGACTGTTTACATGTGATCGACTGTTTCAAATCGCTTACATATACTCAACATACTAGGCGGTAACAATTTTAAAAATGACACAACAACTACGGAGTAGGGGCCTAATACGCGATGAAATGTGATGAAGTCAGTTTTTAAACATCTATACGAAAGGATAACTGACCTTTTTATAGAACAGCAACACATTATACTCCCTTTCGGAGAAACAATCAAATATAAGAGACGAGTGCCATAAAAACTGCGTCAAATAATTACAAACCATAATTACATTAATGATACAATGACTAAAAAATTACTCTAGCTGAGATCTGACTAATACTCTATCGTCTGCCTTGTGGATTCAACTACTCTAAATTACTCTCCTGAAGAAGATTATCGATAAATTAATCTCAACCCGAGTATATATGCTAACAAGTATTCTTGAGCGAGGATTTCTTCGTAGACAAATCTTGTCATAATCTTCAAATCCAATTTGCTTGCATTTAAGTATGTGTGCGTAACCTTAATTTTACTACAAAGCTCAGATGACACTCGAGTACCCTAAACCCCATCTTTCCTACGTGAAAGACAAACCACAGCTCTGTTTCTCAGGACTTGACGCAATTTTAAAATTATTGAAAAGCATAATTGCTTTGTTCTACAAATTTGAATACAATATTGGCACCGAGTTCTTTATTCAACGGAAAATTTTATCTTGACCCTGTATTGACAAAATACTTGACCTGTAAAAGCAGAGGCGTGCTGTCCAGCTGCGAAAGAATGTTATTCATAAAATACCGATCCTACTAATGTCACTTGAGACGCACTATGACTGCATGACACTAGGACCACTGTCTGTCGCGGGGTCTGTCGACCGTCTAGAATGTAAGGGAATACAATATTTCTGATAATCCTGATTATTTGACATTAGCCGATTTTAATGCTACTGTATAGGGCGTTATCGTCTGCCTCCTTTTGGTATTAACATGTTGTTTGTCAGACATGTCTTAGTGTCCTGTATCCTGGTACCGGTTGAGTGTTTGTCACTTTGGTGACATCAAGACACAATGACACCCCTCATCTGTTGTCTGTGAGACTTTCTGTTGTCTCCTTTTACAGTTGTCTAATATTTGTGCTATGTGCTTAATGATTTTGAGAGATAACGACATGCATAGATGCATAGAATCTGTTCAATGTCAGGATTTCGACTATCTGACTGACATCAGACATTCCCTGTCGTCTGCTTGACATTTGGAACAGTCCATTTGGAACAGTTGGCTTTGACTGGGCGCGCACGTGTTTACAGGTCAGTAGTCCCCCGTCTGCCTGGTAGCAGTACAAGAGCAAGTTGTGTGTCCACTGTAATTTGTTTCAATCTACGACCCACCGAATAAATTCTTTGGAGGGTCTACATGGCCTCACACAGTCCTCACACAGTCCGACACAGTCACCCGCTGTTCACTCTCTCTCTCCACTCTCTCTCTCTCTCTCTCTCTCTCTCTCTCTCTCTCTCAATCTGTGTGTGTGTGTGTGTGTGTGTGTGTGTGTGTGTGTGTGTTTCAGAACTATCAGACCAGATGCATTGAGAACACGCACCATTAAAACAAAACTATAACATCCTATGGAATGTGTAAAAAAAATCAAAAGGAGAAAATCGGTCAGGCCCAAACAATCAACTGTTTCTAAACACGGACACTGTGCTTTAGCTTTCATGCTCTAAAGAAACAAGTTCACGCCCTCATCCAACCTCTATTCACAATTAGGTTGTTTTTGTTTATATAAAAACACCCCATTTAATAAAAGTCAGATTAAATTTTACTACCACAAATATGCCTTCAATTACTGTTTCCCCATGCTATTATCGTGGAAAATTCGACCCGACGAACGAAAAACGCAGTATATTCCTTCGCTTAACAATACAAAGCCTATGGCTATCTGTCGAATTCCAACGAGTATTACTAGCTGTTTATTCGTATTGTCGAATCACTCTTGGGCCAACACAACACAAGTCACGTTTAAATTAGCCCAATCATTTTTATCTCCACCGCTGCCGGCGCAGATTCCACGCAGAACAATCGCGGTTTTAATCTGAGGAAGAATCCCTGACATTTACTGGTAAGAAAATATTGTTCAGTTCCGTGTTTAGAATCGACATAATATAATAAAATCAACTTTTATCGACAGCAAATACAATATTCACTAAGTAGTCAAATAAAACCAAAACATAAGGACACGCGGTGATGATGTATATAAAAGAATTGTATTGCAGAATTGCAACAAGAACCGTTAATTATCGCACAAGCGCTGAAAGATACTGTCGAGAGAAGGGGGGGGGGGGGGGCTGCCCAGAGAGCAACACTGACAAATGGGCAGTCTATTGCCTCTTTGTTGAATTTTGACATCTGTCAACTTCAGTGGTTGCTTGACTTAATCCTACCTACACTAGACTTATAAACCAGTTGCTAAGATTAAAAAAGTGAAAACAACCTACCAGTATAAATATGCCGTTATCTGTGCCGGTAATTCTTTTACGAGCCGTGCAAGGTTCAAACGTCTTCTGACTTATTGACACCGGCACGTGTATATGATACAGTCTGTTTCACCGATATTCAAACTCTTTTCGACCTCTAAGGTCTAGTTCTTTAAGCCAGGGCAGACTCTCACCCGTCTGGCTCCTGTTGATGTATATCGGTCTTGTTGGTGTTATTCTCCCGTTCGAACAAAATGCTTCAGCTTTACAGAGTTATCAGTCATGGAACTGTTTGATCACCTGCCGTTCCAGTTGACGAGCTCTTGAATTCTGAATAAAGATCTGAGGTCTGGTAGCACACAACACTACGCTTCCGTTATGACTAAAGCTAAGGTCACTCAGCCACCATGTGCGTGGTTGGAATGACAACACAGTAGAAGGGCCGAGTAAGATTTCACTGACGCAGCGCTTACGTCACACCACGCCGAAAGAAGTGCACGTCGAGTGCAGCTGAGAAGCCACATGTACGAATGATGAAGGCCTACTGACAGAATATGTGATCTAATTATTACAAAAATATGAGGAATACCTTCACCGTTGATTACGCCGTCAACAGGCTTCTCATCAATTCGTAATCTAATCTACACGCACTGTAGAATTATTGAACATAAAGATGACGCTGTCTGATAATGCTGTTGAATGTTCCCGACCAACACTGTTTGCTATTTTTATGGACCCGTAACCCAAAACTTCAGCACTCGTATTATGTTATTTTGATGACTTGTAACCCAGTATCCGCAGCTGGTGTTTTGAGGACGGTGGATGCCAGGCAAGTGACTAATAGTGACAGTGCAGACTCATCTCTCTCGTACAGATGACACTTAACAGATATTGGAAGTGACACGTTCTTAATAAAACCCTAAGTGTGTATTTCGGTTCCATTTTCAAAATGTCCATTAAACATTTTATATAGACCTGTGGCTTTCATTTTAAAGACGACAAGTGTTATTTTTGATGTTGCATTTTATTTCAGGTATCATTAATATTGTTATGATTACTTTTGCTTAAAACATCGCTGTTTACATTACCCTACTATCTGAAACATTTGCATGGTTTTCCTTCATACTCACAGAGGGCATCGCTTGAGGGGGGGGGGGCAGTAAAGTGAATCTAAGCATTGTAGTTTCAAATGTATAAATAACGTGAAATAAGAACAAAAAGACTATGGGTCAATGTTTTGTATTCCGTTTGTATGTACCTAGATCTATCTTTACCAAAATTAGTTCTATTCCTACCAGTACGATTAAGCACAATGGCTCACTCAAATACAAGTTGCATGTGAAAATATTCGTCATGCGGCAATTTTCGTCATCTTCATCCAACACACCTTATTACATATGAAACACCTAACCTTTGATTTCATGAGTACGTAATATCATATACGTGATACACAAGACCTTAAAACGGTATCGGCATGTTGGTTGTTTACATCAGAGACGTCTAAGAATTTAACACCGTGTGTTTTTCATGCTACATGGAAAGGGCAAATTGTCTACTTCAAGCATACCATAAATATGTTTTTGTTGTTGTTTAAAAACATCGAGTTATAGCAAATACTTTCTGACATTATGTTGATCTAGGGTAACGGATAAAACAGCAGATCATTTGAATTTATCTTGTTAGTATGTTACAAGCGCAATGTGTTAGATGTGCAGCAGGTTCACTATGGTGGTTTTGACGCATTGCGTTGTTCCTCACGGGAGTGAAATTACACAGATAATCAGGTATAAGACAGAAAATCACTAAGATAAATGTTATACTTCTACCAAATATTTCTCATGTGGATTTGTTATCCTGTGCAAATAATTTACCCCCCCCCCCCACCCTGATTTCGAGATGAGAACCCAAAAATAGGGGTTTCCATTAGCCACTGAATACAACAGATGATGTTTTTCCCACACCCAGAGTGAGCGGCTGAAAGCTCCATATTTTAACTGCCACAGCATACAGGATGTTACTCATGTTAGGGTTTCTAGAAGTACAAGTTATTTGGGTCGTCGTCCTTGTTGGACTGAACACTGCAAAAGGACAGCAGTTTAAAGGTAAATTTGTCCCCTAAAACTACGCATGTGCGCTTCAATTGGTCACCCAGTAAAGAAGGCATGCGTATGTTTTTTGACGACTGCTAAATTCATGATTAGACAGTTGTTTAAGAACACAGCATTTTGAAATGAAACGCTCTCCATCTCTTTCTCAGTGTGCTCTGACATAGCGGGTGGCCAGTGTCTTGATTCTAATGTGGCAACCTGTAATGGTGGACAGTGGGACCACTGGGCACACTGTGACGGCTACTGGGGTATAAGATGTTGTGTAACAGGTACTACGAGCCAGACCACGCCCCCTGTCACCACACCAAGGACGACATCAACGCCGGTGGGCAGTACCCCAGTGCATGGAACCTCTGGTACAACCACAACGGCTCCTGATGGGAATGCAGGTAATTTTGCGAGGAATTAACTAAAATCTGTAGTTAGCTGTCTAGGGCATGACTGCCATTTGCTTAAAAGAGGTTGGTTGCCTTTAGAAATACATATTGTTTGGAGTGAATGGTTAGGTAGTGGCAGTAAAGCTGACAGTACTGGGGAAAATTGAGGAAAGGTGACAATTAGGTATTTAAGACGCTTTCCATGAGAAAAAATTACGGTATGCAACATGGTACAAACAATGGTCTAAATGTCTAAATTTCCACAGAATGTGCAGCTCTCCCGGGTCTGAGAAGAAACCGTGTGGTCGGTGGTAAAGAAGCGCCACCTAACCGCTGGCCTTCTGTCGGTAGCCTCCACACAATAAAATACGGGCAGCCCATGTCCTCTACCCACGACTGTGGCGCCACCATCATCGCTCCACAGTGGGTCGTTACTGCGGCACACTGTGTGGATTCGTAAGTTTCTAATGAATCGGACCAAAAAAAATTAAAATCATGAATTGATGCTAGAAAACCACCTATAAAGTAGTTTTAACTTGTTAAAACAAGTCACCTTTTTGCATCTGCACACATCTTACTTATATGTGTAAGCGACAATCTACTTTATCTTGTTTGTAACAGCACAGATGACAACCACAATCGCAAGCCTTGAAGATATAAAGCAGTTTTTTGGTTATCAGTGGGATTGTAGCTGGTATTCTACTCCATTTTCCAAGAAATTTCATAAAAAGCAATCGATCTGATTTATTTAAATCATAACTGGAGCCCCATTTTTTCTATCAATCCCATTATACAGTTATCTGTTGCAGTATCTACGACGATGCCGATGACTATCAACTCGTCTTTGGTGATCATAATCAAGATCAAAGTTCAGGACGGGAAGTAATCGCGCGTGTGTCCAGGATTATCAAGGTACATGTACGGGTGGAATTACAGAGAGGTGTGGTCTATGCTGTGATGTCACATTTTTGTTGTTTAAAGGGTAGAAACATAGTAAATTTAATATTTATTTCCCCCATAGTTTAAAATAAAACAAAAACGCTAATCTAAACTATCAAAATAACAATGTAATGAATAAAATGTAAGCGTCTGGCAGTTTGTAAGAGGTCGGTAGAGTAATTTCTTAGCATTAGTTGTGCTGAGGCATTGTGTGTGTTTGTGACCGTAGCAGTGTGACTTTGACCGTTTATTTTGAGCATTCAGCATGCTATGTTTAATGTTTGCTTAAATCTTTTAAACATATGACAGATATTAAAGGGATAGCAACTCTTCGTATGAGATCCATATTTCACAATGAATTCACTGTAAACAACTAACAGAAACATAATAAATTCTCTTTTACCACCGAAATCAGCGGTTATCACAATTAGGCCTATTCAGAAATCTTTTCTTGCCATCGGATCACGTGATCTACGTAGATGACTGCCCTCTGTAATAATCTCTCAAGAGATTATTACAAAAAACCAAACTTTTTAGAAAAAAAACAGGGACTAAGTTTGAATGTCAGAATTGATTCGTTAACCATTGGTAAGTTTGGGAAAATTGTTGCTTACCCCAGGAAAATTTTTTTGGGCAAAACGAACAGTTGTTATCCCTTTAAGTTTTCATCTTTATTCAAAAATGTCTATAGTAAGTTCATTTTCAGCACGAGCAGTATCAAAGTGACGGCCCTGGTTTCCCAAACGATATCGCACTGCTGAAGTTGAGCCAGCCGGTGCAGTTTACCCGGTACATACAGCCTGCTTGCCTGCCGACAGTGAACACTGTATTTACACCGTCAGACGAGTGCTGGATCCTTGGGTGGGGAGAGACGAAAGGTACATAGATACACACACTGGACAATAGAAGTGTCACCCCTACTGAACCAATACTATGGAGGATATAAATGACTGTGGAATGATATGCTACTGGTATCATTTTATTAACATCAAATTTCACAAAAAATCACAAAATGAGAACAAAATATACATTCCACCAAAATATGCAGTTTTAAGTCCAGAATTAGTACTTAATGGCATAGCCACGTGACCCTATAATAGGTGCCAGTCTACGAGGCAAGGATTCATATAATTGTCTGATGCGTTCAGGGCTTATGCTGGCCCAAGCATGAAACACTGAATATAACAGAGTTTCTCTGCTGGTTAGACGGGCATTTGTCAAAAGGTTTGACATATCATTCCACACATTTTCTATTATGTTTGCATCCGGACTCTGGACAGGCCACATCACCCTGCGAATGTCATGTTGGTCAAACCAAGATGGTCAATCAGCTTTCCAAAGTACAAACACTGGACAATAGAAGTGTCACCCCTACTGAACCAATACTATGGAGGAGATAAATGACTGTGGAATGATATGCTCCTGGTATCATTTTATTAACATCAAATTTCACAAAAAATCACAAAATGAGAACAAAATATGCATTCTACCAAAATATGCAGTTTCAAGTCCAAAATAAGTACTTAGTGGCATAGCCACGTGACCTAATAATAGGTGCCTGTCTACGAAGCAAGGTTTCATATAATTGTCTGATGCGTTCAGGGCTTATGCTGGCCCAAGCATGAAACACTGAATATAACAGAGTTTCTCTGCTGGTTAGACGGGCATTTGTGAAAAGTTTTGACATATCATTCCACACATTTTCTATCACCCTGCGAATGTCATGTTGGTCAAACCAATCATCAACTGCTCTGGGCCTGTGACAAGGAGCATTGCCATCCTGGTGAACAAACGGATAATTCCTGTCACCAAACATGTTAGTAATAGATGGTAGCAAGTCTGACTCCAAAACATCGATATATTTCTAGTGATTTATGTTTCCATCAACCACTCTCAATTCGCCCACGCCATGGATGCTGACGCAGCCCCACACCATGATGAATATGCTGCTCCGGGTTCGAAAATTCAGTGCATGTGGTACAAATGCTTTACCAGCAGTTCGCCAGCATCGTACCCGTCTGTCATCAGAGGTCAGACCATAGCGACACTCATCAGAAAAAAATATATAGGACCAATTGTCATGAACTGTCCAGTTCCAGATCCTGTTGACCCTAGTTTATTCTACGTTGCCTGTTTTGTAACGATATAAGAGGTTTCAGTCTTGCTACCCTGCTGTACACTCTCAGAGCATGTAACCGACGCCTAGCAATTTTCACAGACACATTCTTATGTGTGAAATTGTTTCACTGTGTTGTCAACTGACAAGCAGTGTCGAACTTTGACAACCTGGACATCAAAATCAGTCGTCGGTCTTCACGGCCAGTAGTTTTTCTTGGACGACCCATCAGAGGCAATTTGTCTCTTGATCCAGTGTTTCTATACCGAGACCAGACCCTCTGCGCGGTTCTGACTGAACAATTCAATTGTATCGATATTCTGACATTGCTTATATTCCGCCTCTTCAGGTTAATAACTTGCACCTATAACCGTTAGATAATTGCCTGTATCTTGATATATTGGAGGAAAACAGGAATAACATTTGCTGTACATGTACAAGACCAACAATACAATTCCATGTTATAGCGGTTTTATACTCATTAGTCACATTATAAGTAGACCAGCCTTATAACTACCCAAGATCTGCCTACTTTTATTACTCTGAGTTAGGGGGTGACACTTCTATTGTCCAGTGTGTGTATGTGTATGTGTGTACGCGCGTTCGTCACATAGAAATCTGAGAGAGAGGGGGATTTAAAAAAAGGTATGACCCATGAAACGGTTTGATGCGCTATTAAGAAGCACAGACATCAAGCCCAACTGCCCCTTGAGCTAATTAGCAATTGAAATACGCAATATTTGGAACGGCGCTAGAGATCAGTTGTTTCAAAACGAGAACATGACAAAGAAACACCCAACATAAGTCAACATAACACCAACCTGATTGCGTATTTTGTTTCAGGCACAGGAGAAAGTAACGTCCTGAGAGAACTGCGCCTTGACATCACACCCAACACCAACTGCTCTGCCATGTGGTCCAAGTACCCGCATTCAGGACCCAGGGTGTGGCCATTTCACATCTGTGTCGGTGTCGGAGGCAATGGAACTTGTAACGTACGTACATCATTAATCTTCACTGAGCCATAATCATATGACAAAATATTATATCTTATATTTTATGTATTTACGCGGTTTCAAGTGTTTTTCGTAAGTGCGGTTATAAAATATCTAATCGGTAAGAAATGCTGTAGTGAGTGAAAAGATGTTATCAAAAACGAAACCATAAATGTATATTTGGTTTAAGGTGGTGGTCACTTTTTCCTCAAGTAATTTTTGCGCTTGTTTATTATTACTTATTTACAGGGTGACAGCGGCGGCCCACTCATGTGCAAGAAAGGTAATCAATGGATGACAGTGGGCGTGTCCTCGTGGGCCATGCGCGACTGCGTCACCCCTGGGTTTCCAGCAGTATATTCACGGATCACCTCCTATTTGCCCTGGATACGACACATCATACAGCAAGATACTACTACCACCCCTGGGGCTATATTTGGATGATGCGTTCCTGAACAACACTGTTTGCTATTAATGGACCCGTAGCTCAAAACTACAGCAATCGTATTATGATATTATGATGACTTGTAACCCAGTGTCCGCAGCTGGTGTTTTGAGGACAGATGACACGGCATGTTGGTTGTTTACATCATAGACGTCTAAGAACTTTATACCGTGTTTTTTCATGCTACATGGAAAGGGCAACTTCAAGCATACCATAAACATGTTTTTGTTGTTGTTTAATACATCGAGTTATAGCAAATTCTTTCTGACATAATGTTGATTTAGGGTAACGGATAAAACAGCTATCTTGTTACAAACGCAATGCGTTAGATGTGCGGCAGATTAACTATGGTGGTTTCGACGCATTATGTTGATCCAAACGGGAGTGAAATTACACAGATAATCAGGTATATTATAGATAAAATCACTGAAATGAATTCCATACTTCTACCAAATATTTCTCATGCGGATTTGTTATCCTGTGCAAATAATTTATGCTCCCCTGATTCAACATAATATGTTTACATTGATATAGAGGATACAGGTAAAAATATTTGGCAAATTTACTTTTGAAGGCAGGCAGACTGTATGGGTTTCAAAGTGTACTTGATATTGTTATAATGTTCCTGGTGCCATTGAGAATAGAAGATCCGAATATCAACTGGTCCAAGGCTCAATTATGGTGGACCCTACATGAAAGGAAGACCGCTAATCCTGCAATGGTCTCTCCGCCTCTCACACGCCTCCCCACGCGTCTGGTCGAATGGAGCCAAGAGTTAATTACTGTGCCCCTGCAGGGACGACGCGTGGGGAAGCATCTTGGACCAGTTGATACCCGGATCTTCTATTCTAAATGGCCCCATTCAAACTAAGGGAAAGGTATAATGACAGGGTAGTTTATTTAATACAAAAATGAAAGCACACTTCATGGGTTTGGAAATTACCAAAATGTTTATTTTGCCATTCCCAGATTCTTATAAAACCTTACATATCTCAATGGTTAACACTTAATTTTTTTTTTTTTTTTTTTTGTGTGTGTGTGTGTGTGTGTGTGTACCTGATGTTATAATTACTGGCCATTTTATTTTATTTTATGTTAAAATCAACATTTATAAATTTAATTTAAGAACAAATGCAAGAAAAGAGAGGGATAGGTAAATGATTCACGAGTACGAGAGAGTTGAGCATTTGCTTGGAAAATCAATTTTGGCAGGACAATCTGATGGAGTGTCCCTTTAAAGTTGCCTTCCTCATGCCATAAATGTGTATCGGGGTATATGTAGCTAAATACAATTCTTCAAATGGTGCACCGTGCAAGGAATGTTTTCTAATTATAAAGAAATGTGATTTACAAATGCATGGTCACAAATTGATGTTAAAAAGGAATTGCATTGAGGGTATTTCACCAAAAATTTTAATTACCGTGTAGATTTTTTCCACAAGGTGCTATTAAATGATTAGTGGATAATGTGGGCTTAATAGTCAGTAAGATGGTTTTTAATATTGTTATAAACCATTTTCATTTTTGTAAATGTAATTTATGTTTTTTAGATTTATTTTAAGTTTAATATGAGAAACATTAAAGTTACCTAACCACAATTAAAGGTGTAATAACTGTTAATTTTCGTTGAAAAATTAATGATCTTGGGGCGAATAGCAAAATTAATGTATAATGAAGTCAGTTCGACATTCAAAGTTTGATCATTTTTTTTCCCCAAAAAGTTTGGGTTTTTGTTGTAATCTCTCAAGTAGTGGGCTGACAACAACTGGCGATAGCAACCGTGCCGGAGGACACTGTCTCTACTGGTCATGTCTCAATGAATTGACCACACACCAGGAGCAAGTGAACAGTCTGAGCATAGGGTAATGCGCCGTTTGAAGGTCGTTCAAAAGCTTGAAGCATCCAGGGTAAGTAATGCTTATTCAGTTTAGTACCGGGGTATATTATTCCCAAAAACACCTAATAAACTCATTTCATTTCTGTTAATTAGAGAATACTTCCAAAGATAAGAAAATTGTGATGGAATGCATATGATTTTTGACAACACATTGATTTTTACTTCACGTTCATTCACAACAGCTGGGTGCTTGTGTCTAGTTGTTCAATTTATTTTGATATAGTGGATATTGTAGACATCAAACGTTTGTCCCCAAGGTATCAAACTTCATCCCTGGAAGCCTTCCATAGCCTGATTATTCACTTTGCACCATAACATACGCACTTTAGTTGGCTTAGAGGAGATAAAGAGATATTTCATAATGGACTCTTTCATTGTGGGTTTTATATTTATACTTATACCTCTGTTGAGTATTGTTCAAATGCAACAAAATTTTTCTCCAGGTATTACTTAGCTGCTTTTCATTACGATGAAAATAACGAAAAAAGGTAAGCAGTAACAGAAATTGAGCAGCCAAGATGGTCAATCAGCTTTCCAAAGTACAAACACTGGACAATAGAAGTGTCACCCCTACTGAACCAATATTATGGGGGAGATAAATGACTGTGGAATGATATGCTCCTGGTATCATTTTATTAACATCAAATTTCACAAAAAATCACAAAAGAACAAAATATACATTCTACCAAAATATGCAGTTTCAAGTCCAAAATAAATATTTATTGGCATAGCCAGGTGACCTAATAATAGGTGCCAGTCTACGAAGCAAGGTTTCATATAATTGTCTGATGCGTTCAGGGCTTATGCTGGCCCAAGCATGAAACAATGAATATAACAGAGTTTCTCTGCTGGTTAGACGGGCATTTGTGAAAAGTTTTGACATATCATTCCACACATTTTCTATCACCCTGCGAATGTCATGTTGGTCAAACCAATCATCAACTGCTCTGGGCCTGTGACAAGGAGCATTGCCATCCTGGTGAACAAACGGATAATTCCTGTCGCCAAACATGTTAGTAATAGATGGTAGCAAGTCTGACTCCAAAACATCGATATATTTCTAGTGATTTATGTTTCCATCAACCACTATCAATTCGCTCACGCCATGGATGCTGACGCAGCCCCACACCATGATGAATATGCTGCTCCGGGTTCGAAAATTCAGTGCATGTGGTACAAATGCTTTACCAGCAGTTCGCCAGCATCGTGCCCGTCTGTCATCAGAGGTCAGACCAAAGCGACAATCATCAGAAAAATATATATAGGACCAATTGTCATGCACTGTCCAGTTCCTGATCCTGTTGACCCTAGTTTACTGTACGTTGCCTGTTTTGTAACGATATAAGAGGTTTCAGTCTTGCTACCCTGCTGTACACTCTCAGAGCATGTAACCGACGCCTAGCAATTTTCACAGACACATTCTTATGTGTGAAATTGTTCCACTGTGTTGTCAACTGACAAGCAGTGTCGAACTTTGACAACCTGGACATCAAAATCAGTCGTCGGTCTTCACGGCCAGTTTTATTTTTTTTTGGACGACCCATCAGAGGCAATTTGTCTCTTGATCCAGTGTTTCTATACCGAGACCAGACCCTCTGCACGGTTCTGACTGAACAATTCAATTGTATCGATATTCTGACATTGCTTATATTCCGCCTCTTCAGGTTAATAACTTGCACCTATAACCGTTAGATAATTGCCTGTATCTTGCCATATTGGAGGAAGACAGGAATAACATTTGCTGTACATGTACAAGACCAACAATACAATTCCATGGTATAGCGGTTTTATACTCATTAGTCACATTATAAGTAGACCAGGCATTATAAGTACCCAAGATCTGCCTACTTTTATTACTCTGAGGTAGGGGGTGACACTTCTTTTGTCCAGTGTGTGTATAAGAAGGGTGGTTATACAGTCACCAAGGAAGAAAACACAGCCAACATACATGTACAGTGTGACTGTAAAATGCTCAGATTCAGTTTAGGAAATATCATGTTTTATTTTACATTTATCATTTAATTTTGTTTCATAGCGTTGTCCAGCTCAAACATGAAGGTAATGTGTCAGTTGATTCAGGACAATAAAACGATCTGGATATCATTGCCCTTAACACTCAGGAACAATAGTGCGTCCCTGCGAGCGGCTACTTACGATAAAAATGGTTTAGATGTGGATTCTCGTCATCAGCTGTTATATATATCATTATATCTGTTATATAGAATCATTAAATAAACCAGCTTTCAAAATGTTAGGTTATATTTGGAAAAAAATTCAACTACATGTGTAGCTCTATCAATCCCAAAAGTTTCCAAGTTCCTACCTGTCTGTCCACCCAGTTCACCCGTAGTAATCTGCGGTAGCATAATAGTTCGAATGAGGTGATTCGTTTCTGTGCAGTTTTCTTGATGACCCAGCATTCTGCTCCATAGGTAGCTAGGGGAAATACACCATTGCTTGCAACAGTCGTTTTTTTCTTTTCTACGGTGTTGGTAAAAAACGCGCCTAAGTAATTGAACACTTTTACATTCTCCACTTCTTGGTTGTCCTCCACAAGGTTCTCATCATTTTCTTCTTGTGTCCCTTTTATCACTTTTGTTTTATTGACATTGAGGAAAAGCCCTGCCGCATCGCTTGCAGTTTTGACTTTATCAGTTAGGTATTGGAGTTCTTGCATGCTTGCTGCTATTAGAACTACGTGGTCAGCATACCTCAAGTTGTTGATTGTTCTTCCACCAATTTTGATTCCTCCTAGATGGTTTTCCAGTGCTTCTCTCATAGATGTTGAATAAGTGAGGTGACAAAATACATCCCTGACGCACACCCTGTCAGATTTCAAACCAATTTGTCATCCCATGAGTTGTCCTTTACTGCTGCTTTATGAGTGACATACAGGTTCTTGAGCCACTGCTTTTTGCCATCATGATTGATGACTTAAAATCCAGATGTCCAGACTACAAATATGTTGACGATACTACAGTGTATGACATTTGTAATATTGATGGTCCATGCCACTTACAAAGTGCAAGTAATGAAATAGTGCTGTGGACACAAAATAACAATATGAAACTGAATGCCAAAAAAACCAAGACCATGACCCTAAATTTTACACGTTCTAAACCAGATCTCCCACCAATAGTTATAAATGACACGCCAATCTGTGAGGTTACACAGTTCAAACTTCTGGGCATCCATATTAGCAATGACCTAAAATGGGGTACTCATGTGGATCATATATATATAAAAAGGCATGTGCAAGACTCTATTTCCTCCGTCAACTGAAGCGAGCTAAGCTCAGCCCTGCTGACTTAATCCAAGTTTACCAAAGTATTGTCCGCTCAATTCTAGAATATGCCTGCCCTGTATGGCATCCAGGACTAACTATAGAGCAATGCAAACTTTTAGAGACTGTCCAAAGTCGTGCTTTAAAAATTATTTTCCCTGACCTACACTATGATGAAGCCCTGAACCTGGCAAATATGTGCACTTTAGAAAAACGAAGGGAAGATCTGTGCAAAACTTTCTTTTACAAAATGACTGAATCCTCTGACAAATTGAATCACATCTTAATTGAGCATTCCAATCGTCTTTTAAGATCTAACAATAGATACAAAGTGCCAAAATTTAAGACCGACAGATTCCGATGCTCTTTTATTCCATATGCACTTTTAAATTTCCAATAGTATTATGCTGTCTTTTATCCTAAGTACAATAATTTTAAAGTTCAGTTAGCAGTCTTTTAACTCAGTTTTATTCATGCAAATATTCATTTTATTATCATTATAAATTTTTTTAATATTCTATGTACAACTTCAACCCACTGGGTTGCAATCTTAATAAATTATTATTATTATTATTGATGAGTCCTATCATGTGGTTTGGGAATCCCATTTCTGTCATTTCACTCCATGGACCTCTTGTACCACCGGATCAAAAGCGTTTCGATAGTCAATGAAAGAGAGTTAAACATCTGTCCCGGATTCACAGCTTTTTTCAAGAAGTAATTTTAAGTTGAGTATCTGATCTCTTGTTCCTTTTCCCGATCTGAACCCAGCTTGTTCTTCAGTTATTTAATCTTTCAGCTTATTTTGCATTCTGTTTGCTATGATTTTAGCATGATCTTGCTGCTGTGGCTGATCAAAGAAATGGTTCGGTTGTTATCACATTAAAAATGTCTCCCTTTTTCGGGAGTGTTACAAAGACTGATGCTGTCCATTCAGATGGCCATTCTTCTTTCTTCCAGATTGCAGTGCATATACTGTGGAAGTATTTGTTGAGGTTTTTTCCTTCTTTCTTCAGAAGTTTCGCTGGCAGGTCGTCATATCCAGGGGCTTTACCATTCTTCATATCTTCCATCGCTTTCTCTACCTTCGATAAAGTTGGTGTCGGCTCATTAGTACTTGTTCATTGACCGGTTGGGTGTTCGAGCAGCAATGCTGGCCCCAAAAGCTACCAATTAATTCTTTTTGGTTATTCATGTACTTTTCAATATCCTTCCAGGTACTACCTACGCCCTCTTTACCTTTCTAGGTGTAGGACCCAAATTCTTCACATTCGCTTAGCTACAGTGCAATATATTCATTCTAACTATTTTACTCAAAGGAATGTGACACCAAAACCTAGATTTAAAACTTTTCTGTAAAACGGTTTTTTTTTTCAAAAGTGCGCCACCTTCTTTGAACCCAAATGGGACAAATTTTATTCGAAATATTGTAGAAAAATAAAGAAACTAAAATTGGACTGCTTTGTAACTTAGATCATAATTCATTTTTCCCTTCAGACTTCGTTTGCAGATCGGCATTGTGATTTTTGAATAATGTCTGTAGGCCCTATACTTTACTTCGTTACACACCCTTTTTATTGTACCACCAGCGTTTTAGTCCATGGTTTTAGTCCCGACTCGCCTGTTCCGCCGGCTCTGCCGGCCTCGCAGGTCATCTTTCATATCCGTGAGTTTGGGGTCAATCGGTGCTTTTTCACGGGAGCAGCGGCCATTAGATGCCGAAACAGAAAACTGTCTCTAATTTCGGAACCGTTAATGCTAGAGACCTCTTTTTTTGCATTTGATAGAGCATGTCAAGCCCAACACTGGAGGTGGTTTCCGTTTTTTTTTGTTTTCCATACGGTTTACGAGTTATGCTGTATCAAAAGGTGCATTGTGGTGGTGAAAGCAAAATGTGCAATATGGTAATATGTAATAAATTTTGAACCTCTGGAAAATATAACATAAGGCTTGGCGAGGCAGACAACTTCTGGTCAAAAATTACATTATTTCATGAAATTTAAGCATCTGGAACTTCTGAGCACCTCCCATTTCAAAATTTTCAACTAAAATGACCTCTTCTTTATTTCAATTAATTTCTTCTGTAGGAAATTTATGGCACATTATTTTAACTCCAAAATTGTAACATTTAGTCCCTTATACAGGTATCTCCAAAACTGGCAGAGATAGGTCCATAGTTACTATTGAAGTTGAATAGGAAGTCATGTACTGGCAATCTAACTGTGACCTTTAAATTGACCTTTGACCTACTTTTCATCATGAACTGAACTTTGCAAATTTTCGTTCCCTTTTATCTCCAAAACTGGCAGAGATAGGCCCAAAGTTACTATTGAACTTGAATATAAGGTCATATACTGGCAATCTAACAGTGACCTTAAAATTGAACTTTGACCTACTTTTCACCATGAACTCAACTTTGCAACCTTTTCAGTGCTTATACTTTCAAAACTGGCAAAGATACGCCCATTATTACTATTTAATTTGAATAGGAACTCATATATATTGGCAATCTAACTGTGACTTTATAATCGGCCTTTGACCTACTTTTCACCATGAACCGCACTTTGCAAGGTTTCCTTTCTGGAACTTCTGAGCACCTCCCATTTCAAAATTTTCAACTAAAATGACCTCTTCTTTATTTCAATTAATTTCTTCAGTAGGCAATTTATGGCACATTATTTTGACTCCAAAATTGTAACATTTAGTCCCTTATATCTCCAAAACTGGCAGAGATACGCACATAGTTACTATTAAACTTGAATAGGAAGTCATATACTGGCAATCTAACTTTGACCCTGAAATTGACCTTTGACCTAATTTTCAACATGAACTGAACTTTGCAAATTTTCCTTCCCTTTTATCTCCAAAACTGGCAGAGATAGGTCCATAGTTACTATTGAAGTTAAATAGGAAATCATATACTGGCAATCTAACTGTGACCTTGAAATTGACCTTTGACCTACTTTTCATGATAAACTGCACTTTGCAAATTTTCTGATCTTTATATCTCCAAAACTGGCAAAGATACGCCCATAGTTATTTTTGAACACGAATAAGAAGTAATATACTGGCAATCTAACTGTGACCCTGAAATTAATCTTTGACCTAATTTTCACCATGAACTGATCTTTGCAAATTTTCTATCCCTTATATCTCAAAAACCGGCAGAGATACACCCAAAGTTGATGTGGAATTTGAATAGGAAGTCATACAATGGCTATCTGTGACCTTGAAATTGACCTTTGACCTACTTTTTCACCATGAACTGAGCTTTGCATATTTTCTTGCCCCTCATATCTTCAAAACTAGCAGAGATATGCCCAGTGTTGCCCCTAGGTTTTCTCTTTCGTCAGCATATATGCAACACTGACAACATATTTCAAGGAAAACCAATAGGCCTATTGTCTAGAGAATCACAGGAGTGATCAGTTTTAGGAAAATACAGGTCAATTCGAAAATCTGCTTGATTGTACCATTTTAAGTTATGTTATTTTGCTTTTTTTTTTTTTGCATATTTTGAGAACTCTTGTTGATTGCATTTTGTAGAGCTTGTCAAGCACAAGACTGGTGGTGGTGTCCCTTTTTTTTTTTTTTTTTTTTTGGGGGGGGGGGGGTTCCATACGAATGCGCTTACTCCAGCTGTTGGTACAATATCTGGAGGCGGTATCGCTTCTCTGATCCTCTAGTTTATCAAACAATTTTACTCAAAGTTTGTTTTATAAGAAGATAAATAACACACCATATTCTTTTCCTCAGGCACTGCACAATTCGTTGAATTATTGAGAAATGAAAAAGCAGTGTTTCATTAAGCTATAAATTATCGCCTTTGTCTTAATGTAAATGTGAGATTTTACAATAAACGCTGTCCTTGGATTCGGACCTTTGGTTGTTATGTACACGCGTTGGGCGATTTTGGGAACCGGCAATAAGAAAACATTGCATAGCGGATATAGATGCGGGGGAGTAAAGATGCGGGGCAGTATCGATGCGGGGAAGCAATGATGTGGGCGAGTATCGGTATGGGGAAGTAACGGTGCGCCTACATCGGCAATTTTACTGGGGATGTACCGATGTGGGGTCGTATCGATGCGCATAATACAAAAATTTACTAAGGGGGAGTATTGGTGCTACCGTAGGTAGATTCTGCTATTGCCAGCTCGATCTTGATTTCATATATAACCCATATCAGCAATACCAGTAAATAGTCTAAAAAGCGACTCCATCACAAGGTATATTTAACAAGCTACATGTAGCTTTTACGTTGCTCTGACACTCAGGGTAATATATTGGTGCGGGGGAGTATCGACATGACCCCACGCATTTTATGTAAACAAAGTACAACTGTTACTTTGCAACAAAATATAACACTTCACATAGTAGTGAACGTCAACAAGTGCATCTGAATTAAGCGAAGGGAGGTTACTCCAAAATCATTTCTATACATTTCGGCGCTTACGTAAAACTTAGTGAATGCAAAAAAGACTCACATACAATAATACAAAATTTTCGTCGGAATTGAAATGTTCATTTTACATTGTTTGTTTACATCATGTTTTAAATGAGCAAAAAGATTCATTAGCTTGGTTGTTGGATAAATCCGTAAGCTAACGGTACGGAAAATTTTAGGCTTGTGTCTGAGAATTTTCATATTTATCATGTTTTAAAGTTTATTCTTCGAAAGTTTCAAGCAGGATAATGGGTTATTTACAGAGTTTCATGGATTTTAATAACAGCTACGGATTTTGCAAAATATGGCGCGAAACACACGTCGCGTACTATTTTGTGCAAGTGCGGAGGTTTTTTTTTTTTTTTTGTACTAATCACCGCTTACGCATTGATATGCCAGATCATTAATATGCCTGACACGAACACCCCAAGTTTCCAGCTTCCTCTTGCCCTAGTTCCGTGAATCGGATTGGGGTCGAATTTTACCACTCATAAACGATGGCTCTTGTCTCTAAAACGAAGCAAACGCTGATATATCTGACTTAAATTTACCTACAACTGTCTTACTAAATGATATGAAGGCCGATATCAAGCGTAAAAAAAAATGGCGGTCATTGACCTCTTCCACTTTGCCTATGCATATCCCGGGCCTACACAACATTCAACAAGGCAGCCTGCCTGCATAACTCTCTACTGACTCCCTTTGCCCAAAAATATGAAATGAAGAATAAACTTACAGATCACGTGATAACTGATTTTTTTGCCACAACTAGAGTGAACGGCTGCAAGCCACAGCATACAGGATGTTAGGGTTTCTAGTAGGCCTACAAGTTCTTTGGGTTGTTCTTGTTGGACTGAACACTGCAAAAGGACAGCAATTTAAAGGTACTGTAATAGAGCAGGATCCCAGAGGGTTAAGCATGCCCGAAAAGATCACCAATTTTCTTGTGCCTGGCCTACATGCTTACCTATATATGAAAATGGGAGTCTGCCGTATTTCCAGTGGTGGGTGTGGTCAGGGGTGGGTCCAAAACAAAGGCCCTCAAATCCAGCTAGCTGGAATTTTTTAGGGGAACCCTTGATGTTGTTTTTATGCTATTGCGCGGTGCATACAAATCTTAATTGCTAAAAATTGAACATCGGTATTGTACAAAAGAAGCCGCAAAGTTCCTAAAAAAATCACGCCCAAAGAGCCACACCCTTTATGTACAGCTAGCATGCCCTTAAACTTAACCCTTAAACTTAACTTGGAAAATTTTCATTAGAGTCCCAGGAAGCTGGAATGACCATCGACAGACAATTTAAGTGGTGGGTTGTGCCCAGCAGAAACGCTCAAAGAGCCACGCCCCTAATGTACAGCTAGATGTACCCGTAATGTAACTCTTTCAAAATGGCTGGAAAATGTTAGGTAGAGTTCCAGGATAGATTATTGACCGGGCACTACCCACCACTTAAATTGTCTGACGACGGTCATTCTAGCTTCCTGGGACTCTAAGAAACGTTTTCCAGTTATTTTTTAGGGTTAATTTTTGGGGCATGCTAACTGTAGGCCTACATTAGGCATGCTACCTTTACAATAAGGGTGTGGCTCTTAAGGCATGTCTGCCGGGCACTACCCAGCAATTAAATTGTCTGCCGATGGTCATTCTAGCTTCCTTGGACTCTAAGGAACATTTTCCAGTCATTTTTTAGGATTAACTTTTGGGGCATACTATCTGCTCATTAAGAGTGCGGCTCTTTGGTTTTGTCTGCCGGGCACTACCCACCACTTTAATTGTCTGTCGTTGGTAATTTCAGCTTCCTCTAAGGAACATTTTCCAGTTGGAGCATGCTAGCTGTACTTAAGGGGTGTGGCTCTTTGGATGTGTCTGCCGGGCACTACCCATCACTTAAATTGTCTGTCGATGGTCATTCAACTTTCCTGGGACCCTAAGGAACATTTTTCAGTTGTTTTTTTAGGTTTAACTTTTGGGGCATTCTAGCCGGATTTCCACCACCTATAAATCAGGGTCTGCCAGCCACACCCCATCACTCAGTTTATCCGCCAGTATCTATTTGATATACCTGAGACCATGCTGAAAGACCCCCAATAGGTTTCTAAGGGTTCCCCTAAATAACTCCAGCTAGCTGGATTTGAGGGCCTTTGTTTTGGACCACCCTGACCACACTCACCACTGGAAATACGGCAGGCTCCCATTTTCATGTTTAGGTAAGCATGCAGGTCATTGCCAGGTACAAGAAAATTGGTGATCTTTCGGGCATGCTCAACCCTGGGATCCCGGACTATAAATTTACCACCCAAAAATAAGCATGTTAGCTTAAATCGGTCACCCATTAAAGAAGGCATGCGTGTTTTTTTTTACTATTGCTAAATTTATAAGACAGATGTTTTAGAAGACAACATTTTGAAATGAATTGCTGTAGCTATAGTTATATGGGGTATGACTGCCATTTGAGCTTGCTTGCCTTTAGAAATAAGTATCGTTTTGAGTGAATAGTTAGATTGTGGAAATACAGTGCAGGGAGAAATTGAGGAAAGGTGACAATTAGGCATTTAAGATGCTTTCCATGAAAAAAAATTACGGTATACAACATGGTTTAAACAATGGTCTAAAACGGTTAAGTTTCCACAGAATGTGCAGCTCTCCCGGGTCTGAGAAGAAACCGTGTGGTCGGTGGAAATGAAGCGTCACCTAACCACTGGTCCTCTGTCGGTAGCCTCCAAACAATATCCTCTACCTACATCTGTGGCGGAAGCATCATTACTCCAAATTGGGTTGTTACTGCGGCACACTGTTTGGATTCGTAAGTTTCTAATGATTAGGAGAAAAAAATTAAAATCATGAATTGATGCTAGAAAATCACACACAAAAATGGTTTACAAGTCACCTTTTGCATCTGCACACACCCTACTACGTTACGGGTGTAAGCGACAAACTTCTTTTTCTTTTTGTAACAGCACAGATGACAACCACAGACCTTAAAGATATAAAGCAATTTTTTGGTTAACAAAATAAGGCGTGGAGGTTTGGATTGTATTCTACACCATTTCCAAGAAATTTAAAAATAAATAAATAAATAAATAAATAAATAAATAATTGATCATATCTGGAGTCCCATTTTTTTCTATTGGTCCCATCATCCATTTATCTGTTGCAGTATCCACGACGATGCTGATGACTATCAAGTCGTCTTTGGTGATCATAATCAAGATCCAAGTTCTGGACGGGAAGTAATTGCGCGTGTGTCCAGGATTATCAAGGTACATGTACGGGTGGAATTACAGAGAGGTGCGGTCCATGCTGTGATGTCACATTTTTATTGTTTAAAAGTCACATTCCAAACCTTCGGATAATAAGTTATGGTTTATAATCTTGCCAATTATCTTTACAACACCAATATATTTTTATTCATTATAATTTATTTATTGCAGGTAGAAACATGGTAAATTTTATATTTATTTCCCCCACAATTAAAAATTAAAAAACAAAAATACTACGATAAAATTATCAAAATAATAATTAAATGAATAAAGTTTGACAGTTTGAAAGAGGTAGGTAGAGTAATTTTTTAGCATTAGTTGTGCTGGGACATTGTGTGTGGTTTTGACAGCAGTAGTGTGGCTCTGACCATTTTAATTTTGAGAATTCAGCATTACATGTTTAATTTTGCTTAAATCTTTTTAACATAAGATTGAAAAAAAAGTGAAAGAAGTTTTTCAGCTTTATTTAGGCTGTCTAAAGTAAATTATAAAATATTTTCAGCATGAGCATTATGGAAGTGACGGTCCTGGTTTCCGAAACGATATCGCACTGCTGAAGTTGAGCCAGCCGGTGCAGTTTACCCGGTACATACAGCCTGCTTGCCTGCCGACAGTGAACAACGTATTTACTTCGTCAGACGAGTGCTTGATACTAGGTTGGGGAGAGACAAAAGGTACGTAGTTACGTGTGTCCGCGCGTTCCTCACATAGAAATCAGAGAGAGAGAGAGAGAGAGCAGCATTTCATAAAAACGAGGACCTATGAAACGGTTTGATGCGCTAAATATATTAAGAATTGCGAAGCGCAGACATTGAGGTCAAGAACTGCCCCTTGAGCTAATGAGCAATTGTAATACGCTGACAACATCAAGCTGATTGCGTATGTTGTTTTAGGTACAAGAGAAAGTAACGTCCTGCTGAGGGAACTGCGCCTTGACATCATACCCAACACCAACTGCTCTGCCATGTGGTCCAAGTACCCGCATCCAGGAGCCAGGGTGTTGCCATTTCACATCTGTGTCGGGGTTGTAGGCAGTGAAACTTGTAACGTACGTGCAGCAATGATCCTCATTGAGACTATAATCAAATATTATATTTTATGTATTCACGCGGTTTCAAGTGCTTTTGTAAGTGCGGTTATAAAAAATCGAATCGGTAAGAAATGCTGTGGTGAGTGAAAATATTATAACGAAAATGAAATCATAAATATATATTTACTTTAAGGTGGTCACTTTTTCCTCAAATAAATTTTCCACTTGTTTATTATTACTTATTTTACAGGGTGACAGCGGCGGCCATGTCTTCTGCAAGAAAGGAGATCAATGGGTGACGGTGGGCGTGTCCTCGTGGGCAGTTGGCGACTGTGACACCCCCGAGTTTCCAGCAGTATATTCAAGGATCACCTCCTATTTGTCCTGGATACGACACATCATACAGCAAGATACTACTACCACCCCAGGGGCTGCATTTGGATGAAGCGTTTGGAGCCTTAAAAGCTATTTCAGGCAACAGTAATAAATATCATATTATCTGCAGTTTAAGCAGATCAAACTACTGCCATGAAAGTTTCCTACCTCCTTCACGTCACTGTGGGTTGTTCTTCATTTCTCTACATAAACAAATCAGGAATAAGAATGGTGATGACAACTTTTATTCATTTTCAGAGAATGAAAATCGTTATTCCATTTGTTATGCAATTATGTCAAATGTCAAACCTTTTTGTAACTGATAACACCCAAAATATCAATTTTCATTTTGTACAAAATGTCAGAAAAAAAAAACAATTTGTTCTTGAACACTTAATACACATTCTGAAAATAAGCCTATTGGATAATACTCTCCATAAGTAGCTTGGCTCAATAAAGGTCTTCTGATAAAACTTTATCATGTTGCCATTCACCTGCATGATTCACATCAAATTAACTGACATCTTGGTTTTATAAAATTACAATCTGCAGAAGCCAGCTGCATTTTTTTATGAAAGGTGTATATTATATGTCACTGTGTTTGAAAAATCATATATCCTGCCACTAGTAATTGTGTAACATGTTATCAGTGTATTACACATCATACTGAACACAATTTATTCACCGGCACTATTATACAATATCAATAAAATTATGATTGCTCTTTATAATGAAAATTAATCTTTAAAACCAATTTTAGCTATAGTTTTTCTCATGCCTGTTGGCTGACAAGATGAGCTCCAGGGGCAGATCTGTTTCTAGGGTTATTTCAGTCTTGCTTTCAGGTCTATTGCCACAAGTCTGTCTTGTCTCAAAAACTGCAAAGAATTAGGAAAATATGAAGCTTTAGTAGATTACTTTAAATGAATTTGAATATTTATACATTTTACCCCAGAAAATAATTAACCTCTCATATTGTCTGTATGATGTATTTAAATGTTTTCATATTACATAAGGTACATGTTGTAAAATTTTGAGTGCTACCCAACCTCTTCATTTGTGTCGGTTTTCTATTACAGTAAATGAAAGGGTATTATATTCTGTTTAAAATGTTTCAGTGTGTCAGGCATGAATGGAACCTATATAAGTCTACATCTTTCCCTTTTCTCTGCAATTTGATGGAACAAGGCATTGAGATGTAAAGAGCTTAAGATATGTGCACATCTTGGATATGAGATAAAACCAAAGAACTGAATGAGAGGACATTAAGAAAAGCTGATAGTTTCTTTACCTGTAGGCATTTTGACATCAAATGGGCCAAGACGGCATCTTCCACAGAGGATACATCTGGAAGTCTAATTTGTTGAGTTCTCACCTGAAGTTCCAAGACATTAAATATATTTAGAATCATTTCCCTTGAATATATGGCTCATATGGAGTCTAATAATAATTAATAAAAGTTTTAAAAATAATCCCATCACTTTTAATAAATAAGTAAATAAATTACAGACAGGCATACAGATAAATGAATACAAATGTCACAAAAAATTGCAATGGCATTTTACTACAGTATGTCATGTAAGACTTTATCCAACTGAAGGTTAAATATCCACCTTAGTTCTGATCATTTCAGGATTATCATGTCTAAAGCTGTGCAGGACGCTCCGACTTGTAATCAGGTGGTATATAAGGCAGCCGAGACCCCAACTGTCACTCTTGGCATTTGGACATTCTCCCTGAAGTAACTAGAAAGAAAGTGAGAACAACTTACAGACATTACTAAGCAATAGACAAAATGGTACACTAGGGATGTGTAAGTAAGGCAGGGACTGTGTGAAAGAACGGTCAAATTATGCCATATGTGTTACATGTAAGTGAGCCAATACTCACCTCAGGTGGAGCTATATCTGTTGGCAGTCTGAGTGCTATGTCTGCCATACTTTCTTCTGTACCTTGTGTTTCTACAGAGACTGCTGCAGAGAAATTACTCAGCTTGGCAATTTCCTTACTGTAATTTAGCACAATGTTTGAATCTGAAATGTAATATGCAAAATATTAAGTATTTAATCAAGATTGTCAACAAAACCCAATTACATTCACATGTATTATTATTTTCCAAATACTACTTAAATTACTGTTAATGAAACAATTAACAGATCACTCCAGACCCATACTGTATGTGATGTGTATATAAAAATTTAAATCTGTATTCAAAATCTCATTTTGGCTACTTTCATAAAAAAAACGAAATCTTTGACACAGATACAATTTCAATAACGTTAAGTATATCAAATTAACAAAATCAGGGATGAATTGCAATGCACAATTTATAAAAACATTAGATGTGGAGCACTTGATTACTGTCACTATAGCTTTAGGGTGACGAGGTATCCAAGTGATACACATATTTATAATATAGTACTAGTACCTGTCCACAAAAGGTAAACTATATTTCTTTGATGCAGAAAGTGTGCTGCTTCCAAAATCTGTCTAAGGTACACCTTGATGTATTTAGCTCTCACTGCAGGTTGGACTGCACCTATCAGGTCTCCTAGTGTTTGCCCTACATGAATGAAATATGGCATTATGCTATAGCTATCATAAACTGCATCCATCAGGTTTGTCAAAATACGGAAAATTGATTATACAGATTAAACTTGATATGACTGATATATTTTAAGAACAAACACTTGATGTCAAATATTATGAAATGAGTTAAGGTGTTATCCAATTATTTGTCATTGATACAAGTGATTTCTGGTTTCATTGTCTTTTTTTTCTGGTCTCACTATTTTAATAACTATGGAGTCTTGAGTTACAAAACAGACTTGAGATCTTATTTGCACTTACCAGTTTCATAGCAGGAACAAACATGCATAAACTTCCTATCACTATCCAAGGCTACCCAGAGGTGCTGGACAATATATGCACTAGCTTCTTGCCGGCTAAGGCTCTTTAACAAGTCAAGAGTTTCTGCATTGTGTTTCATCTAAAAAAAATGCAAATGCTATGAATTTTGATACAGTGATGGGACTGGTGTAAATGCAATTATTGTCTAGGTCATTATTCATAATTTAAATCAATCACTTGATTAAAAGAAAAAAATTATCTTTGCACTTGGTTTATACTTATTTTGATAAACACAATTAACTAGTATTAAATAATAAAATAACCACAACAGAGTCATCAGCTTCTATAAAATCTTCCCTTTGAGTGAATGGAATGTAACATTATTCAAAGATTAAAAAAAAGATCAAATTCATATACCTGTATCATGCACACTTCAGACTTAGAAATTAATTAAAAAACATAAATGTATTATACTTTTAAAATTCATATCTATAGTTTCAATTTTCAAACCCATAATATTTACCTTTTTGATAAACCAATAACAAATGTCATTATTCTTCCCATCGCAGTTTATTTCTGGAACAGCCAATACAGCGCTCCCAAACTTGCCCATTCTTGTGATAGGATCCCAGTGTCTTGCCTGACTGTCACCCATGCCACGTTGTAGCTAAAAAGATATGTTAAAAAAACTTAAAGGACAGCACACTCAACTTAACTCCTCACTATTTTATTTTTACAAAGTCTTTATTGGAACTTCTTGCTAACAGCTCACTACTTCCCTCTTGAAAAGTAATGGTCTCATCATCCTCTTCTCATTTTATATGGAATGAAAATGTGAGGAATACATTCACTTAACAAAAGTGAAGAGAAAATATATGGTCTTCAAATGTATATTTAAGGGGTATATTTAAAGTGTATATCAAGTCAGATATACCCTTAAATATATATTTCAAGCGTATACCTGCATTGCACTAGATGTGTTACTTAAAATTAGACTCAGAATTATGGGTATTCTTAGACAAGTAATAATTTTACTTGAAAATGTTTGGTTTTTTATAGTTATCTTAAATCGAAATTCATTTCAAGTGACAAAATACATTGCAATGCTTCCACCACCATTTGTTAAAACAGACTTTAAAAAATAATTTCAAATAAAAGGATAGTGCTGGTAAAGTCAAGTATAATATTCTTATTAACTGGTATCTCCATTAGGGCCCTACCTTTATGATTTTCATGTCATCTGTAAAAGGTTCCAGCATCAGGTTTTGATATTCTGAGACTAGTTTAACCATTTGCTCATCAGCGTCCTCATCACTAAAACAGTTAACACAGGCTTTAGTAGCACAGTTTGTCATGCCGATTGAGTAAAATTCCAAACTAGCTGAAGTCTTATTCATCACCTCACATGTGTATTTTAAAAACAATAATTAGATGTCTCAGCAATCTCTTTACAATTTGCCCTTGATTTCTATACAAAAAATTTATTTAAAAAAGTATAACTGCAGAAAGCATATGCCAAATAATTAATCCTTTTGAAATCCCACCCAACAGTTTTGTAATAACTGCAAATATTGAAATATGGCTAAGGTAACAGTGGGAGCTAGGTTTGGCTACATGTAAGTGTGACTGTCTTTTCTATCTGCTTTTCATTTTGATTGCATTTCTTTGCTTGTCATTTCTTCAGCTATTTGTTGTAATGTTTCATGACTTTTTTATTTCTTCTTTTTTTAACTGCTGAATTATCTCTCATATAATTTCTATCCATTCCTGTAGATTTGCAATTAAATTCATTAGAAACAAACATTCAAAATCAAGTAATGAAATTAAAAAGGGACAATATCAAGTAGCACACTGGGATTTTTACACTCACCTTAAATCGCAAAAAAAGCTACACCACTGAAGAGGACATCTGACCTCGGCACAGCAGCCAGCATGGTCACTTGCCCATTGCAACACATGTCTACATGTTACACACTGCCATATTTGTTTTTCACTATGCAGGTGATCTTCAACATGTTTCAGGCGATTTTTACCCTACAGATATGATAACACATTAGCTACGGCTAATCTTGGCACTACAATGCATAGGAGAAGTATATACATTTCTAAGCCCATGCCATGAATATCCGAAAAATATTATTTTTATCAAAAGAGTATCTCTCTAAACCTATTTTCTCAAATAAACCCCAACCGTTTTTAGCATCTCAAAATATGTAAATATAAATAAATATAAGTGGCAGTTATGACTGATTCAATACGCTGATAAAGGATGACAAAATGATGTGAATTGAAACTTTACCCGTAAACAACTGACATCAGTACAATGCGGGTCGAAACATCTGGCTGCCTTCAAAAGAATGTTTTCTAGGCTGCTGTTGGTGCAGGGCGGGCTCAGCTCTACCTGTTGATAGAATACAATATTTATAACTTACACTTACAGCATACAGAAATATTTCACATACATGATTCAAAATTTAATACAGACAGTTACATTTCAGCACCCTTTCAATTTTCTAACCTTCCCCAACTGTCAAATACAATAAAATTACTGAAATATTTCCTTAGTTTCACCACTTCAACAGGTTTGTCTCATTTGCATTTTGCTTGAAAATTATGTATTTAGGTGTCTCTGTGTAATTTGCAGTAGCATTTGCACATGGACAGTAGCACATCTCACACAGTTCACTTCATCTGGGCTCACCTGCACATTGGTGGCCATTACACTTACGTTTATATAAAGATTATAGTTACTTTTTGTGTCAAAAATTAAACTATAAAGGAAAATGAAATACCTCAATCTCCAGTCTCTGTTCATTTCTCATACCATGTGCATCTAAATTGTGAGCTCCAGGTTCTTCTGGAATTGTGTGTAAGTTCCCACCAGCATCCACGTCATCCTCAAAACTAAACACCCTGGAATCTCCTCCACTGCCAGGAGTTTTAGATTTGGCTGAACTAGTACTGGGGGTGCTAAGAGACTTGCTGCTGTGCTTTCTGTGACACTTTGCATCTGAAAATATATCAGATTTGCTCATTTCTACTTGAAATGTTTAATCAGTCTTAACATAAATGTTGAACATTCATATCTGTCTGATGATCTCAGATTTCATTTCAATTTCATTGATCACAAATATTCTTAGACACCTATAATTTAGTATAATGTCTTCAGCAATGATATCTGCATTGTCATTTTTCTTCCAATTAATGATACATGATTTCTATTTAACCTTGTTTTCACAATCTTAAAAATGGCAGCTGTAATCTAATAGATTTTTTATCTTATTTAAATACTAGTAATGAAAATTTAAAGAAAGTTTTGTAAGCCAATACTAAAAATGCAAAATTTGATTACTTGGTGGTGATGGTTCAGAATCTGATGAAGCTACAATTGAGGGAAGTCGCTCCACAAGGGTTTCTGGTTCCATATTTGTGAACATGTCACTAACCATTGCCTGGATGTTTTCTGTACGGAGGCGTTTTTCTAAATCATCTTGATGAAACCTGATAAAACTAGAGGGCTGATCATCCTGTGGCTTGTCGTCCTCTTTATCAATACTAATTTCAGGTGGATCCACTAACAACATCATATCAAAACCATTGCCTTTTTGTGGGGGAACTGGGGTATGTTCTAACAGTTCTTTTTGAGAGTTTCTGTGCTCCTCTTGAGAAGATATTTGAAAGGAGGACAACTGAAAACTTGAGTCATTAGTATCTAGTTTACTCATATTTGGTGCATTTCCTTCCAAAGGGTGTGTATAGGGTTGAGAAGATGAACTTGAAGTGCCTTCTTGGGGTATAAACACATCCTCTTCCTCCTCCTGGTCCCCCTCACCTGTACCATAACCACTAGATTCCTTCTGCTTCCTAAAGGAGTCCCTCCTAGCAACCGCATCACTGGTTGAGCCAGCTGTAGAAACTTTTTGGTTTGACTCTTCATCATTCTTTTGCTGTTTTCCATAAATGTCTTTCCAGGCTTCCCTTTCAAATACAACATCCCTTCTTCCCTGAAGCTGATCAACTGAAAAGTATCTTATATTGACCTCTTTTTGTTTAGGTCCTTCATCACTCCAACTGACAGTCTTTTGTAGGCGTGGCCTGTGCTTATTCTCACTTGTTTTACTGGATGTTGACCTGAGGCAACGTGACTTGGGGGTATCACTATTACCTAACATAGTACTTGCATCCCCAGGATCACTTTCTTCATCCTGTACTATGGCCTCAAGACTGTCAAGGTGTCTGTTGCTAATGTCCTCTATAACACTGATCTGTTTCGACTCTCCTGGTGAAATGGGCGGGGTTGAGCATTCAACAAGGTCAGGGATAGAGCTATGATGTGACAAATTCATAGGTACTGGGGCATTTTCCAAAGTCGAACTGAATGGGAGCCCTTCTCCTATGCTTTCTGGATCAGGTACAGAATGATCCGTACATTCTCCTGTTGCCGTAACATCATGCTTACTGTACCCTTCACTGTTCTGTCTATGTTGTCTTTCCAGGATTCTGTCCCTTGAAGGAACAATTTTGAAATCAGGTGTGCTTGTCTGATAAGAAAGGACTGGTTGGGTTAGCACAGATATATCTCTGGGAAAATGCTGCTGAACAGCCCTGAAGAAAAAAGCATTTCTGTGAATTAAACTGTTTATCTCACTGGAGTTGCACACGACACTATCACTATCCAGGTTGCTGTCATCTTTGATATCAGTAGAGTTTTTTTCATATTCTTCACTTGAGGCTGTCATGTCTACTGTGAAATAAGCCAGGAATGGGAATGGTTGAGCTTGTTCAAATTATTATAGTCTGAAATAACAAAATGAACATTTTTTCTAAGCATATACATATATATATATATATATATATATATATATATATATATATATATATATATATATATGTAGTACCTGTAGAGAAATAATATATAAGCTGTTTGTATGACAGTAAATTAATTTCACATTAAAGATTGTGAGTGTACTGTCCAGTACCAGTATTTAATTTGAAGTGGAGTGCATGCTAAGATTTTCTTGCACAATCATAGTTGAAATTTCAGTAATTACATAATTTCCTGACTCAGATGTGTACAAACTATATTTTACCCAATGTCAAAAATCTATTTTGTTGTGTGAGTGATAAGAGTTGAGGGATCAACAATAATTGAAGAATAATGTATTTATAATGCATTGTACATGTATACGGAACAATAGTCAAATTTATCTTTAATTAATGCATGTCACCATGTACAGTAGCGTCACCCACAAAACATTTTATTGTCAATGTTACCAACCACAGTAACAGCCCTTCCGAGTCGAAAAGAACTTTTGATTTAATGTTGTTATGATTCACGAGTCATGATAAGCCATTGCACAAAACTGCATCCTTGTACAATTACTTTTTAAGTTAAACGATACCTTGCCGCTTACCGGGTACGTACTGCTTCCGTTCTGGTCAGTCTTTCACAAACGATTTCCGGACACGTTAAATACGTCACTGAAACCCTTGATGGGTAACCCTGTGAACATTACATCAATGCATTTTCTGTGCCCCATTTTGTTTTCCAAGAAAACCACCGTATGTGTCATATGTAAACATTGCAAGTAATAGCCCGCATTTTCGAATTTAAAACCATGACAATGCTAAAAATTCACTGTACAATAACTTGAATGCTTCGACGTTATGTCTAATTAGCTTGAATGATATATGACGTTGGTTTATTGGTTTAATTTAAAGAAAATTTTGCCACTTTCATTTTCAAATTAGAGCACAACAGGGTCAAGGTCATTACAGTAGTCTCTAATCGCTGATGATTTATATTCATTTATCATTATTTTAAGTCATATATTTTTAGCTATCCACTTCAACATGAATGCAAATATAAATTATGATGTTCATGATTCAGCTAAACTTTTCGAGCAGTTTTTACAATTATAACTACGTTTTTCTTGTAAGCCATTCATGGGCTATGTAAAGGTCAGTATGTAGGTCACGCCTAGCCAATCAGATTCAAACGAGCGACATTTTGATTTTTCTCATGGAGTTGGTAGTGTTTACTTTACAAGGATAAAATCGTGGTGATTCTTTAGAGGTAATGTTATATGCATGATGGTATGGAATATATTTCAAAGACTGTTTTGCCCGTCGACAAAATTTCTCAATTAACGCGTGTCTATACTCTTATAACTAGATTGTGCCTGTGGTAAACAAACTTTTTGTCATCGACTTGCAGTAAGTTGCACTCAAGTCTTAACAAGGTTCCGACTTGCTGCTCGTGTAATTTAAGTTTTCTTGCCTAAGAACAAGTGTTAAACGCTTTTTTATATTCAGCATTATACCGTACTCATACATAAAACCTCAAAAAAGTGGTCAATGTTCTGCTGTCACCTTGTTCGATTGAAAACTTTTAAATTGAAATCTTTATCCTTTCATAATGACAGCCTCTCTTTATGACACAAGAAGAAGTTTGTAAAGAACTGATATAAATCCTGTGCAGCAGATTTTAAAAAATCAAATAGTGATAGCAAAAAAAAAAAAAAAAAATTAATAAAATACTATCAAGGGAATGAGCCTCAGTCGCCTATTTTGTGTGTGTAATGCCACTCTGTTGGATTTTTCATGTCTACATTAGGCAAAGAGTATCTATAACTTCCAGTCATAATGGTTTTCTTCCTTACATTATTTTAACCAAGATAGCATGGTAGATACTAGGTGTACTGTTTGGGTTACAGTAAGTACCATCATTATTTCTATTCTATTTTGAGTTATTGAAGAGTTCACAATTACCTGTTTTTGCTTCTTGCCTGCTTTTTTCTACCCATATAACCCTGCTGACACTTAAAACTTGGGTCATTGTATTTTATACTTTATTTTCAGTATCAAAATGTCTAGCCTTCAGGCATTGAAGAGCCGTTTGCAGAAGGTGGAGGAAATAAAAAAAGAAAACACACAAGAAGTAACAGGTTGGTATATCTCTCTAATTTTTGGTGAATTTTTGTAAGGTCAAACATTTTTATGACATACAGCAGTAATAAATGATAATGTTGTTTTTTTACGCACCAGATCACAGCACCTGGATAAAGAAGATAGATGATCTTGGCAATAAACCTGATGACTGGTTGCAGTACACCAGATTTGTCAAAGGACAGGTCCAGTTTACAGATGAAGAGAGGAGACACTCTTATTTGTGCAGTGTATATGAGAAGGCAATGAAGGTACATATACACCATTCAACTGCTGGCTTAATGGTCAAGCTGAAATGTCCATTGCTGTTGAAGACAGTTCTAGTTTATGTTGCCAGGGATATCTGGACAATAGCAGTAGCAACGGTTACTTTCTGTCAGTATATTAGAATGTATTCATATACATGTTAGCTGAAGTTGATACTTCAACTTGCCTCCTTAACCCATACTTCTGCTAGAATTTAAAAAGTTGGGGAAAATGATTAATTACATTTCTTTGATTTTTCAGGCCATAGCTTTTGACAGCAATAAAAAGAATACATCATATGCTCAGCTGCTTATTGATTATGCAAATCTCAAGGCGTATGTATTCCCATGCCTTTTTTAAACCAATATTCCTGTCTTGGACACACAAATTAAATAAGATCAGTTTCATGGTGCTGATTAAGTTAAAGACATTGGTTACATTCAGTAGTTCTTTGCAAAAAGAAAGGAATCAGTAGGTTATGTCCCATTGATCATCATTAACCCTCAAGTGACCGTGTGGGGTCATTTACGACCCCAGCCATATGATTTTANCATAAAACCTCAAAAAAGTGGTCAATGTTCTGCTGTCACCTTGTTCGATTGAAAACTTTTAAATTGAAATCTTTATCCTTTCATAATGACAGCCTCTCTTTATGACACAAGAAGAAGTTTGTAAAGAACTGATATAAATCCTGTGCAGCAGATTTTAAAAAATCAAATAGTGATAGCGAAAAAAAAAAAATTAATAAAATACTATCAAGGGAATGAGCCTCAGTCGCCTATTTTGTGTGTGTAATGCCACTCTGTTGGATTTTTCATGTCTACATTAGGCAAAGAGTATCTATAACTTCCAGCCATAATGGTTTTCTTCCTTACATTATTTTAACCAAGATAGCATGGTAGATACTAGGTGTACTGTTTGGATTACAGTAAGTACCATCATTATTTCTATTCTATTTTGAGTTATTGAAGAGTTCGCAATTACCTGTTTTTGCTTCTTGCCTGCTTTTTTCTACCCATATAACCCTGCTGACACTTAAAACTTGGGTCATTGTATTTTATACTTTATTTTCAGTATCAAAATGTCTAGCCTTCAGGCATTGAAGAGCCGTTTGCAGAAGGTGGAGGAAATAAAAAAAGAAAACACACAAGAAGTAACAGGTTGGTATATCTCTCTAACTTTTTTTGTGAATTTTTGTACAGTCAAACATTTTTATGACATACAGCAGTAATAAATAATAATGCTGTTTTTTTACGCACCAGATCACAGCACCTGGATAAAGAAGATAGATGATCTTGGCAATAAACCTGATGACTGGTTGCAGTACACCAGATTTGTCAAAGGACAGGTCCAGTTTACAGATGAAGAGAGGAGACACTCTTATTTGAGCAGTGTATATGAGAAGGCAATGAAGGTACATATACACCATTCAACTGCTGGGTTAATGGTCAAGCTGAAATGTCCATTGCTGTTGAAGACAGTTCTAGTTTATGTTGCCAGGGATATCTGGACAATAGCAGTAGCAACGGTTACTTTCTGTCAGTATATTAGAATGTATTCATATACATGTTAGTTTAAGTTGATACTTCAACTTGCCTCCTTAACCCATACTTCTGCTAGAATTTAAAAAGGGGAAAATTATTGATTACATTTCTTTGATTTTTCAGGCCATAGCTTTTGACAGCAATAAAAAGAATACATCATATGCTCAGCTGCTTATTGATTATGCAAATCTCAAGGCGTATGTATTCCCATGCCTTTTTTTAACCAATATTCCTGTCTTGGACACACAAATTAAATAAGATCAGTTTCATGGTGCTGATTAAGTTAAAGACATTGGTTACATTCAGTAGTTCTTTGCAAAAAGAAAGGAATCAGTAGGTTATGTCCCATTGATCATCATTAAAATGATGTTAGAGTTGGTTGATATGGGAATATGACTAGTGTATAGTTGCATAACATTTCAGTGAATATGACACAGATGAAGCAGAGGCCATGTTTAACCATGCTAGGTACAACTTAAAAGGCATCTCTATAGTGCACATAGCAGCTGCACAGTTTCATCTCAATCAAGGTATGTATATATTGCCCTTCTTTAAAACTTTAAAACTGTATTGTCACTGATATTGTTAAATCTTATCTTCTGAACCTAGATATTTCAATGATCAATTTGAATTATGAATTGGAGCAGTAATCGGGGGGAAAGCATCTATTTTTGGACAGACGTAGCACAAAGAATATTGTATTTCACTGTAAGAGTCAGGTCCTGATCTTGACATGCTTGCATTGTTTCTTGTATGTAGGCAATCCCCAGAAGTGCAAAAAGATCATCGAAAAGGCTAAAGACGTTGGTGCCCAGCCCACAGAGCTCCTGAACATAGCTTTCAAGAACTTCACCTATGATAAACGTGTCTTGTTGTCAGAGCAGGACATAGAGGAAGCATTAGGTGTGTGTTTTAATGAATTACTTAAAGTGCCCAATTACCAAGTCACTTAAAACGTGTGTGTAAATTCTTATATCCAGACACTTAAAATTAGACACTCCAAGTGTAATAATGTTAGCAAATCTTTACTAGTATCAAGCTGGCATTAATTGGATCTTTATGATAAAAGGAAACGATGAAGAAATTTACATTTTAAATGAAAATAATGATTTGCACCTTCCCCCTCCCAAGTAAAAAACACTTTTAAAAATGCCCATTCTTTTTACACAATTGATACAGTATACATTTTTTTCATGGTCAGGTTATGTTCTTGTGTCAGATAAACTGAGAGGTAACTGTTCAGATTTTTCACCTGAGCAGATTTTTGTCTTTGCACGCTTACCTGCTTGGCAAGGGCACATACTAAATGGATGATTTTTTTTTTTGTTTTTTGTTTTTTTTTTTTGTTTTTTTAAGGGAAGTAGGATGGGGATACACACTGTCAAGATGTACTTTGGCATTGTGTTTTAGATTTAGTCAGGGAACAAGCTTTTTATATTTTACCTGTAGTTTGGAATAGATTACCATTTCTTAACAATCTGGCTGGCTACATCAATGTATATTTGCAAAAAGACATTTTAGTCAAGTAGCATGTACATTGCATGTAACCAGGCAGACGGTAATAATATTCACCTACTTGCTTGTCTACCATTTATACTATATAATGCTTTACCCTTGATATATTTAATAATCTATTTAACATTATTATGCCTAATGGAAAAGAACAGGCTGTTTTCCTGTGCTTTATTACATAGTCCAGTCAAAATGCTGCATTGTTGTTCATGAGAGTATGTTAGATTTTATACACAAAGAATTTATCTGAAGGATCTAAAAGGTATATGATTGTGGAATAATGAAATTTCATGCAACAAGTGATAAGATAAGAATACCAACATGGTTATACAATGAAACTTTTAAGTAGATGTTACAGTTGTGTAATGTGCATGTTAGGACTTGTGTACTAGCATGTGATTATTACTATAATTTATCAAGTACCATTGCCATAATTATGCTCCATAATTTTTTATTGATAACCAACAAGATCTACTGAATTCTTTTCAGATCCTAAGTCGAGGCAGGACAAGGAGAATCAGAAACCTGTAGAATTGCTCCCTGCCAGGAAGTCTTGGCTGAGCAGTTCAGATGTTCAGAAGCCTAAAGGACACCAGTTACCTGCAAGGCATGCTAGTGGTGGTGGACAGACCCCAGTCACCAGTGCTTCAACCGAGTCTCAAAGTCAGCAGCAAAGAGATGTGGTTGCTTCTGGTTCTGCATCAAGGCAGCAGAGGCCCTCCAGCATGGGTCAAGTATCCAGTGGTACTGTAGCTGACCCTGCGACACCAGAAGAACGGGAAAGAATTACCACTAAACCCCCTTCAGGAAATAACAGGTGCTTTTCAGTGTTTAGGCAGTCTTTTCTGGTGGTTGTGTTTCAAGTGAAAAAAGTAATTGTGGATAGTGTGTTTGTATGTAAAGCTGCAGCTCTAAGCACCTGATTGAAGTGAATTTGTTTTCCTACAGTAAATATAGCTAGTTCACATTTTTGTAATGCAGCAACATTTTCTAATCGGAAAGACTCGTGATGTTTTGGCTTTTGTATTATCACAAAAGCCTATAGGAAACTAGGAAGTGTAAATTTTGAGGAAGCCATGTGCAACACCCTAAATGGTGCTTTATATATTCCAGGAAACTTGGTGGTCAGCCCTCTAGCTCCACACCAGATGCCCCTCATCCACCAGGAGAACTGTCCATGGCAGACTGTATGCTAACACTGAACCCTCTTGTAATGGTGGATAACACAGTCAGCTTCAGAAAACCTGGATCTATAAGGTAATAACTTGATCTGTCTATGCATACCATAAACACATAGTCTAATGACCTAAATATCTTCTGGTGTTTTAGCTATAAAAAAGCATCATAAAAGATTAGGATTTTGAGCTGATATTTCAGACATATTTTCTGACTGTTTGATTGATTGATTGATATGTTCCTTGTGTTCACAGGACTAGAAACTGCAGCAGCAACAGCTCTGAGGACTCTGACACTATCCCAATGATTTTTGAGACCTCTAAAACTACAACCAGGCCCCAACACAATAGCACAGCCAATGCAGCACCCCACAGTGTGACCAAGCCTTCATTGCGCTCTAGCACATCTGTCACATCTGCCACACTCAGTGCTATCAAGCCTTCACTCAGGGCTTATAACAGTACTCCAGATTGCAAGTCTGCTGGACCAACCAGTTTTGGGTCTTCAGTTAGGAGAAGGTAATACGATAGAATATACACTAAAGACACTACCATTTCTTGTAAATGTATAATTTTGTGAAAGTTGTTGTTTAACCTATCATAATGTTGCAACAAGTTCATTGTTATTGTCCGAGACACATTGCTGCAACTTACATTAGGCACTAGGATTAATGTTTTTAAGAGGAGCATTAGTTTTTCATTTATATTTTTGATGTGTGTTATCGAACAGATAAATTTAAGAGGACAGTTTTATCAAGTACATTTTCTAGCAGGGCTAAAAGTATAAGAAGCTGCAACAGAAAGATTAATTCATGGTCAGTTCAAATGCAAGTTACTACTGATAAATGTCCCATCATTGCATGAAGGTTATCTTTTGTATATGTGTAATGTGCTACTAATACTGTGACCAATATTTGCAGGCCAGAGTTTGGGCTGCCAATGCGAGTTAAGAGAACATCTTTGCCACAGTTGAAGGAAGCAAGGAAGGGATTGGACGAGGATGACGAAGAAGAAGAAGAGGATAATGGAGATATTGACAGCAGCCTTACTGGAATCAAACCTCTTAATTTACAGCACATGAATGGTTGGTTACTTAATTTGATTATTTTCCTTATTGTGGGTAATTGCTTCTGTTGTGGAAGAAGTGTTAAAAGATTTTAGGAAGTAAGATAGATGAGAAGGAACTGTTTACCATAGCAGTTTGGCAGATGTGGCAGTTTTAATTCAAGTCGGGGGTATCTCCAGCACTTACACTATTGATATGCTAAATGTTCCCTAATGGCTTTCCTCCATTTAATGCAAATTAGTCCTATGTTGGTGTTTCATTGATAAACTTGTGACATGTCTTGTGGCAGGTTTGCTTGGCTCACAGTCTGCTTTGACAATTTGTTGGTCTGTTATTTTTCCCCTATTGCAATAAAATTACATTATTTTAAAGATGAACTTCTCTGTTTTTATCCCACAGGTTCTATGAGTAAAGGGCAGGACACTGCTGACAGTGGCGTGTTTGAACAGTGCTCTACAGAACCCATGGAAGTCAATCACATGGAACATAATAGCACAGAGCCCATGGAAATAGACAGCCCTGTGGCTAAGAAACCACTTAGGAGTTCTGTGGAAATGCAGAAAAATAATACATTATCTTGTGCTAGCAAAACTGGGCCCAAGAAAAATGACTCCCAAGCTAATAGGTTACCCCAGAACTCTAATCCACATGGCTATCTAGAGCCCAGGTCAGCTAGAAAAGCTCAACCACAATCTTGCATTCAGGACCAACTGCCAATACAGACAGTTCCTGCATCCTTTCCTGTGGTGCAAACACCCTCTCAGCATGGTGTTGGGTAAGTTTGGGCACGTTCTAATCTACCCAAATTGAGCCTAAAGTTGACACTTTATAAAGCAAGGTTGCCACTAGGTTTTGCACTTTGGGTTCAGTTTAGGAAGGAATGAAAGGCTGAAAGAATTTAAGGTTGTTACTCTTTTATCTTGTTAGAAAAATTGTTCATTTTCTTGAAAGTTGGTAAGGTAACCCTAAGGTTGCTCTAATGGCAAACCTAGTGATAGATATTTTTCTCTCACTGTTTTATAGAAACTTGAAATCAAAATACATGATAATCTGAAATGTGTTGCTCTTTGGTGCTGCTATATGTTTTGAAATACATTTGAAATATTGATATCAGCTTCTCTGTAAGAATGATGCACTATTTCACTTTGAAGAGAAGACCCGTCATTTTAAATTTTGATCGTCTTTTAGATATGTTATGTCCACACCATCTGCCTATAGTCATCAGTTCCTTCCACAACAGCAACAACTGTACAGTAACCCATCGTCTTACCCTCACCAGCCTGGTGCTGGCCTGGCTGCCTGTACCCCTGTGGTGGTAAGTGTTTCATGTGCTATGTTTCTCTTGATAACAAGATATAAGATTATTAATAAGATTGTTCATGATCTCAAAGAAAAAATAAGGTGTAAAACAGCTACATTTTGCTCTTGTCACAAGATATTCATCAGGCTGAATACCCACAGGTCTTGTCAGCTCGTGTGCTGCCAGTGCAAATTGTTCATCATCTATTAGGTCTTTTTTGCTTGTAAACTGCTCAGTATTTTTTAATGCTTTTTATGCTTACAGAAACCCTCAGATATCTTGACAGTGAATGGCCAAGTTTATTCCATACTGAAAGTGGTTGGGAGAGGGGGATCAAGCAAGGTAAAGTTTACTGTATATAATATTGGAAATCATTGGTAAAGGGAGTCCAGTAAGGTACAAAAGCAGGAAGTGTCCTTGAGGCATTTGAAATAATAATGTCTTTTTACATATTCCAAAAACAAATGCACATTGTAATCCAGTAAATAAATGCACAGATGGGAATTTTTTATATGTGGTGAAAAATTGTTAATGGTAAAAAAAAAGACATACTATTCTTGAATAGGGATGTTTATTAAAGTATTTGTTTCTTATTATAACAGTTTGTTATTACTTTAGGTGTATAAGGTTATCAACAACAACAAGGACATCTTGGCAGTGAAGTCTGTGAACTTGGAGGGTGCTGATGACATGACACTGGAAGGCTACAAGAATGAGATTACATTACTGAAAAGGCTGCAATACAGTGATAAAGTTATCAAGATGTTTGATTTGTAAGTTAGTTGATTTTCTCATTGTTGATTCAGTTGCAAAAGGGGGTACCAGGGAGATAAAAGCACTAAAGTGTAATTTAGAAATGGAGGTTTGATGGCAGGTATGAAATAATAATTGGTTAGGTCAGTTTTGTGATGATTTATTTGCAACTTTACAGCATTTATTGATAGAATACTTTTTTGTCAAAAAGTGTGGCTATTATTATTATTATTTTTTATTTTTTTATTTATTTATTTATTATTTTTTTTTTTTTGTGTGTGTGTGTGTGTGTGTGTGTGTGTTTGTGTAATTCTTTAGTCAGGTCATGTTTAATAAATAAAACATTTAGGTAGATAGCATTTTTCTTTCTGTGTTTATATACCTTTACAATAGTGGAAGTCCAATATCACTTCTTGTCTTACTTTGTAGTGAGTACAACAAGGCGGAGAACCTGCTGTATGTGGTCATGGAGTGTGGAGACACAGACCTGGCCACCCTGCTGAGGACCCGCAGTAAACAAGGGGGCATCACCACTGCACTCAGGAAGTTCTACTGGGAGGAGATGCTGCAGGCAGTCAAAGTACTGCACCAAGAAGGTAGGTCTTGTGATATAAAGAGATCAGCTTAGTTATTAGTTATATTATATGTATTATATTTCAGTAAATAATAGTTGGTATTGACATTTCAAGACTGCTTGCTCTATCGAGCCAACTCAGGTTGAAGCGGTGTTCATTTTCTTTTGTATTCATTCTCATAGACTGTCTTGAGGTGCTATTGTATTTCTTTGATACTATTTTCCACAGTCTTATTAGCTGAATAAATATAATTCCATTTTTATTATCTTTTCAGACATCATTCACTCTGACCTAAAGCCAGCTAATTTTCTGCTGGTAGAGGGCAACTTGAAGCTTATTGACTTTGGTATTGCCAATGCCATCCAACAGGATAAGACCAGTGTTATTCGGGAGTCACAAATAGGGACACTGAACTTTATGAGTCCAGAGGCCATCTTAGACACCTGTGGTGGAAAACAAGTAGATGAAAATGGCAAAATTAAGCAGAGGATTAAAGTAAGTGGATATTTGTTATGTGAACCACCAGGTATATCAGATTTTTAAAGTTATGGTATGTGAAAGGATTACAGTTAGAAAAGTTTGAAAGAGGATAGAAACATGAGTAGCCGTTCATATATTCATTAACCAGAAGATCAGTGTACATGTGCACAACAAAGTTTTATCAAACTGTTGTCAAAGGGATTATTACAGAATCTTAGAAAAAATAACTAAGCCATCCAATTTTATGTTGTGGACTACATGTAGTTTATAATTTTGTAGTATATACTTTGGCACAATAAATGTTTTTTAAGATTGGGTTTAAAGAATTGCCTGCAATTTCTTCATTATTTTACAAAACTGACTGTTGGTTCCAGATCGGAGTAAAAAGTGATGTGTGGTCACTAGGCTGCATACTGTACAACATGACATACAGCCGCACTCCATTCCAACATGTCACCAACCAGTTTGCCAAACTTCAGGCCATAGTTAATCCCAAAGTGGAGATCCAGTTCCCTGAAGTAGAAGATGCACTTCTGATGGATGTTTTAAAGGTTTTTGTCTTTGTGTATATTCTTGTATATTTTTTCCTCCATTTTATTTATTGACAGATGGAAATCTGCCGTTGGTGTGAAGCCATATTTTTTTACTCATCAAAATTCGTATGTAATATTGCATAACAGCAACATTTGAACCTACTTTTCTTCCATGTTATCTTGCGTATTATGTAATTTACAACAGTCTTACCAGTTCAAGAATAAAATCCTACCAGCATTACCTAACAAATTAATTATTTCAACAGCTCCCACATAAATTACTCTTTTGTTTTAAATTGTATGCTTTACATCTCTTACATTCCAGAAATGTCTTATCCGTGACCCCAAAGATCGTCCTTCAATTGAGGATCTGCTGGCTCATCCTTATCTTAGAAAAGTTGAAGAAAATACTGTGCCAAGTTCATGTAGGTTTTTTATATACAATTATCCACAGTACACAGCACATTAATTTTTTTAATGATGGATAAAAATTATGATATTGTGTGTAACATGTCAAACTATTTAATAAACTTATATTATGGTATTACACATTTCAAGTATGTCAACTTTCTTAACACATTCCAAATATTTCCATTTTTCAGGTTCACATACTGAGGAAAGTCTACAGAGAGTAATACTTCAGCTATCTCAGGCCAATGTCAACTCTCCTAGGAGTCTTAGTGCAATATCAAAGGTATAACTCTTATAGTGGTCAACACGGCCTGGTAATAAAAATTGTGAATTTTTTTTTTGATGAATTTTAGCACTTAATTGAAATGCTGTAGAGCTTTTATTGAAAAAAGAAATTCCTGATCTATATTAACAATTTATGCAAAAGCACTTTTTTGTTATGTTGGTTCTGAATTTATTTGATTGGTTTTAAATTAATTTATATTCTAACTCCAGGGTCTACTGGCACAACTGCAGTCAGGGAAGGAACTGGATGTGAGCAGTTTGGTAAAGAAAAAAGTGAGTATAGTTTGTGAACACTTTCATCAGTAATGCTAATGTATACATCCCTGATTATTCCAAGTTGTAACACCAAATTGCAGATAATAGGATTTGCCATTTCTCCGTGTTTTTTTTTTCATAGTATGCACATATTTCTCTTCTAGGCTCCCCCACCAGTATGTCCCCCAGAGCTTCACCCAGGTAGCAGGTGACCAGACCTGTGGACATGCTGAGACAGTTAATGACCCTACCACTACTTGTATGTACAGAAACAGTATCAAGTTTCTCCTGTCTCCAGATCCAGACCCTTGTATGCACAGGGAATAGTGACCAAAGGACAAGACTGTCTGACAGAAACATGGAAGAATTGATGCTTATGAAACTGCTTATGAAAAGGATTCAGTGCAAATAATTGAAATATTAGGTACATTATCGTCACCTGGAAAGATAATGTAACCAAACACTGATTGGAACATTCCTGTGAAAATGTGAAGGTACCAATCGGGTTCATTCCTGTCACTTTGTATGCAGGAGTGACTGAAGTGGCCATGTCACAATAATCTTGTTTCAGCAATGAAGAGTTAGCAAATCTTTTCCCTTTTCCCTTTTCTGCAATTTTTTTGGCCTTGGCATTTCCCAGTAATGTTTATTGACAGAAGTGTTAGTGTATGCCCATATATTTTTAGAGAAAAGTAACATTAGGCATGTTATGGTTCTTATACTTTAAAGTAGTGCACTTTTTGGCTTGATGATCCATTGTTTAAAACTTAATATATTGTCAATTAGTTTGTAAATTTAAAAAAAATAACACTACATCTAAATATTCAAAATTGGCTGTTAAGCATAAGTTTGCATTTGTTCAACGGCTTATAAAACCCCCTTTACACTGGACGGCATCCTTTCTGTGTCCTTTGTGCAACCATGAAACTGGCATTGCTGTGGTCGTAGAAAGGAGGCACAAGCATCACATCATGCAGAGTGAATGCTCAATGATCACCCAGTTGTTGGCACGTAAAGTTTTTTTTTTCACCCTCTCAAACAGGGCCGTACTTCAGGATGCAGAAAGGACGCCGTGTATTGTATAGGGGGCTTAAGTGCCGTTTATTTAGTATTTGGCCAGAACATGTGAATAATATTTACGGTAATAATAAGTACTTAGCTGGTACAGGGTGGAGCTGACATCTATATATTATCAGTTTATTCTCTTTCTCTTCTCCCATAGAACTTTTAACACACTAAAGTATATACATTTTAACAATATTAGAATATTTCATCAAAAAAATAAATAAATAAAAAATGCTAGTTGTTGATAGGAAGAATTTTTTTCTATATTTCCTAGATTTCCAAGTGTAAGCTTCACCTGCCCTCCCATTAGAAAATGTTTTCTGGAACAGCTTAATTTCGAATAATCTCACTCTCATTTTTTTCATGAACTTGGGTTTTATAAGTAGGAAAAGGAAACTTATTTGGTGTAAACGTGTATAGTTTAATCATTTATCCTTGTATATAGTGATGAAAATTTAATATCTCCATTAAGAATGTCATTTGGTTAAGCATTTGTTGCAGCAGCGACTGCAGAAATTCTTGTCTGACTACAGATTAAGATATAAGCATATGTATTAATCTTGTAAATATATCATTATATTTAATTCTGTTGTTGTTGTTTTTGATTATCCCTCAAGGCGGGTATCAGCAGTTATGTAATATTAAGATGTATGGGGATAAGTTTGAAACTGTTTCCATGAGCAATTTATCCCAAAAACATGAAACTAATTTTACTAGAGGTTCAGTACGAAGTACCCATGATTAAAGGGATAATAACTTCGTTTCGGCCAAAAAATGAATTTTCCTGGAGTAAACAACAATTTTCCCACACTAACCAATGGTTAATGAATCCATTTTTACATTCAAAATTAGTCCTTGGTTTTTTTTCTAAAAAGTTTGTTTTTTTGTTAAAATCTCTTAAGAGATTATAACAGAGTATAGTCATCAATGGAGGTCACGTGGTCTAAAGGCAAGCTCAGATATCAGAATAATAGCTATAACTGCCGTTTTTGTGGTAAAACAATATATTATATTTCTATCAGTTATTCACGTTTTTATTGTAAAATATAGATCTCATACGAAGTTATTTTCCCTTTAAGATACAGATTTGCATGTAGGCCATGTGGTCGCAGGATGTTTGCCAGGTAAACAAAGCTGACCTAGTTGAAGGGGGTCCCCACTACCTGTGAAGAGCAATGATAATGTAGCTCAAAGTCCACTGGAAGAAAACCCCCATGCAAAGGGGTGTGACAAAACCAGCTGATAACAGAGAACATGTGATTGCTGTCTGTACTGTTTTAGTTACTATATCAGTGGTGTTTCAGGCTGCTTGGAGTCTGCACTTGGGAGTTAAAACAAGTGCAATTGAAACTGATAACTGCGAGATGGCTATACCTGCATGATTATTTAGGAGAGGCAGTGGAAACAGCTTTCATCTGCGAATATTAGATCTCAGGGCTTTATGCATTGGTGCACTGGGTCTACTTCCTACAAACAAAAGTGATGACTATTTCATGGTAATCTATTACAAATCACTGACACTGCATAAAGAATAGAGAGATGTATGTTTACATAGCAGTTGCCAGTTTGGTGGTACTTGTCCTCAAGTTCCTCCTGACTCCAGATCCAGACCCAGTGTGTGGTGTCTATGTGAAGCCAGGGAAGTGGTTTACCCTAAAGTACTATGCATTTCTGCTCCTGCTTAAGTTGAGACAGAGGAGGAATGCTGCCAATGCTGAGAGGGCAGGGTATGGAGTGAGGTCTAGGAACTCAGCGCAGGAGATGGATCGGGCACAGAGTTTGCCCCCTTCACATCCAAAGGTAATTAGATAGAATATTAATTTCATTTTTATTCACTGTCTTAAAAGATCACTTTTATTGGCAAATTGCCAATGTTTGAATTGATTTCATTTAACGTACTTAAAAAGTTTGACAAGTATTTTTGCAACAAATGATGCTAGCCATTAAAAACAGAGTAAGATATAGTTTTATATTCTTTACCTGAAAAGTAATTGGTTTTGACAAGATTTTAGTAGCCAGCAAATGAAAAATATTTGTAATTTCTTGTGAAAAAAGTCTGCTATAATTGTTCCAGGCAGTGGATGCTGTCTATTTCAATGGAGGAAATGGGGAAGGTTGTTATTTTGTTGGTGCTACAGCAAGACGACACAAGAACATTGTACAGACACTGTTATATATCAGGGTATGTGTGGCTTATGCACCAAAGTACAGAATTTTTATGGGGATCTTTCCTTTCTCTGATCCTCTATTTTATCTCCGAGGTTGTTAAATCAAAGGTGCTATAAAAGCTAGGCTGTATCACTTGCATGTACCCCTCCAAATTGAAGTTAAATTTACAATAAAATGATGTTATACCAGAATCAACTTGGTCTGGAAACATGTTAATGCACCAAAGAATTTCTGGGGCTGGGTTAAGTGCCATGCTAACTTTCTGTATATAGGTACAGCGCAACAAAAATATATTAATTAAGAAATAAAATTGTCCTTATGTTCCTGTGTAGCTTGAAGATTTTGGAGTTTCAATTTTTTTGTTCCAGTTTCCAGATTTAGGTCTTCTAGAACTGACCACTCTTCCAGACACTTCCCTCCAGGGTACAGAGGAAGGTACTTTTGCCGCTGGAGGATTAAAATTTGAAGCAGTGAAACCAATGCAGACATGGAACTTGACATTTGATGGGAATATGAGGTATCATCATAGTCTAGATATTATAGTTATTCTATAAAGGATAGTCTGAAAAGTAAAAAAAAAAAACTATAACTTACTGATGGTCTGATAACCACTTTACTTGACAATCATTGATCATTTATGTTTTAAATGTTGCAGTTGAATTATTCCTGAAATCCACAATTAATAGTTTGCATCCCCAATCACTTTCAGAATAGTGAGAACAGGAGAAATAAAACATGTGAGGTTCCTACTGGTCTGGACTGCTACCACAGACTACTTTGACTTTGACACAGATATGGAGAACCATGCTCTGGCTCAGGCCATAGCCAGAGAGAGGTGGACACGGACATTCTTTGATGCATTAAAAGTGTAAGTTTTCTGTTGTATCGATTTTTAAAAAAATGCTGTTATTTGTTTGAATTTAACATGCAAGTGGAAATGATTTAAAGTGTAACTTAAATTATATTGGATTAAGTAATATAATAACTAGTATGGTATAATTGTTTGCATGCATTCACTGAGTCTTTTTAATTACTGAAACTCAGTATTACACAATAATAGTTTCTTTCTCCAAAGAGATGCTTTAAAAGATTATAATTATAATCATAGACCATTCAGTTGAAATATGATAACTGTCGAGAAAAAAATGTATACAATTTTGACAATGATTTATATCACAATATTTCTAATACTTTTTTATTAGAGCTCACCAGACCCACTATGAACAGTTTGGCAGGATTAGTGGCACAGTCCACATAGAGGGGGTGGGAGAGAAACAACTTGATGTTCAGGGAGTGAGAGACCATTCATATGGTGAGATAACAAGGGGACAGGAAATTAAACACAAGCAGGGTGATAATGTTTCAACTTTTGTTTCTCTTGCACAGTGAGAATGAATCACGCAAGAGTTTTCAAAATATTATGCTCCCATTCTTCTAATTAATGGATTTCCATTTATAAGTAATAGAAAAGCCTGGATAAGAAGTATCTAACAAGATTTTGATTTCCTGGTAAATTTGACTTCACCACAGGTAATATCAGAGACTGGAAAGATCTCCACCGCTACTGCATACAGTATATTCAGCTAGAGGACGGGACAGCTGTGTGCTTTGGGCTGATTTGTTTTCCCAAAACTATGAGCAGGTGAGGAATATGTCAATAATAATAATAATAATAATAATAATAATAATAATAATAATAATAAAACTGGGAGAGTAGAGTACTCATTAGACTTTCCAAATGTTCATTTCTCCCCCATATACAGTTTACAACTTGGGTCTGCTATGATAACGTAATAAATATATCAAGTGTATTTTTGCCATTTTAGTGGATTTCCATTCATTGATACTTCCATATTTTAGGTTACTTATTGGTTATGTGTTCCATCCTGATGGAAGGAAAGATATGGTGTCTTCCACTGATTTTGAATTCATTAAGTTTGGGCAAGATGGACATCCACCAGATGTATTTAACTGTAGATTCACTGCAGGTTAGTGACTATGTTAAGAATGTATTCACTGTATTTAGTACGGAGTGATTAAATATCTGATTAATTTACTGTTTTAAGCTCAAAAGTTGCTTTTTTGCTTGTTTTACCATAAATGCTCTAAAAGCTTAAACTATTTGATGGCCAAAGTTTCTTTATGCTCATTAACATCATTTCATACAAAGCCTCACCTGAGCCTTCAGTATCACACTGGCTGTAATCACATTCACGTTAAATGCAATAAACCCATTACATTCTGCTAGTTCATTAGACACAATCTCAGTCATGATCAACACAATCAGCAACATCAGTCAACACAGTCATATCCTGAACAGCAGTCACATCCAGGACTGTCAGCAGTCAATTTCAGGACTAACAGTAGTCAAGTCAGACACAAAAAGCAATTATGCTCAGTACAATTATCAGTGGTACTTGACAACCAGATTTTTGTGTCTTCATATCACAGCAAAGAAAACCTATGCTTTAAGATGTGAAGTGGTGGACCAGGCCCACTTCTTCATAGGAGATGGACGAGATGCTCGGATCCATGAGCGCCTGTGTAAGTTCACTGTCAATGGAGTCACTGGATGGGGAATTAGTGAGTGGGATTACAGGTGAGATAATGAATGAATGAAAAGATATGTGGTGGTATTACAAAAAAGATTGTAAATAAGTTAATATACATTCTGATTAAGTGAATGTATTTAGTCATCCATAAGAATTAGAATGAGAACTATTCCTAGTTGTATGGCAGTATATCTGGTGACTAATCAATCCATATCATTACATAGAGAAAGGTCTCAGGTTGAGACTGCAAAGTCAGTCAGGTGGTAATGTAAGTTCTAGTATCAGAGTTATATGTAGTTCTTACTCATTCTGATTGTTCTAAATGTGTAAAAGGCAGAATGAAAGTGATTTCTTAACTAATCAAAGAGATTTCTTAACTTATCAAAGAATTTCTCTATTTTTTTTTCTATCCTTTATGATTTCTACTTATGTCAATGCTGCAGTAACTTTATATTGAAGTTTGATAAGTGACTTATCTTATTATGATTCAGGCACAATGCATTTCATCCTGATCATTTCGAGTGAATGTGTGGTGGAGTATCTAAGAAAAAGTGACACTACCAGTTGCCTATTCATCAGTGTTTTTTCGAGATCTTTGACCCACTATTGCCTCTAAATATATGCACCACAAGTCCAACAAGTGACATGGAAATTGGAGATTGCGGGCATTTGTGTTGTATCCAGTTCAGATTAACGGACAGAGACTTAGGGTGTATTCCCAGAGATTTAGATCGATCCAGGGATTAAGATTTAGATCGACCTAACTCCCTGGGGGTTCAAGCTAAATTGCAGTTGCCCCCTTACAGCTTTCAGTAGGCGGGACAGACGCTTAAGCTAGCTAAGCTGACAGTAATCTAGTGAGACTCCACACAGGGATAGATCGATCTAAAATCTATGGAAATGGGGTCTGAATAATAAAAAACGTCCCGTTTTCATTTGAGTATAAAAACTCTGGTCTCTTGCTAAAGGTACCAATGCAAATGCTTTCGATCTGTTGCATTTTTTTTTTAATTGTCAAATTATACATTTATTCGAAATCTTCATCAGTTGCCATATCAATAAATGTCACTAAGCCATTTGACTTTGATTTGTTAAATTAGAATAACGTGCACGGTTCTTATAAGGGATTGTTATTGAACTGTTTTGCAGAGTTTGTACTGATATAATGAAAAAAGGAACCTTCAAATTAACTTTGCTCTATTGTTGAGAATGTTTCGTGAGCGCACATTTCCGACATGAGGTGTTGTAGGAATTCTTCCCTCCTCAAAACGCGTGGCATTTTAAACTGTTGGTTGTGGGTGCCATGCGATAGTTTTGTTTTCAACTTTTGGAATGCTCCCTGTTTTACTTGGACAACATGCATTCCAGCAGCGCTTCCGTTTTTCCGCATCGTTTGGTAGACGCCAAAAACTTCGCACAGGCTTTCATCCACCTGAAAATATATCAACCATTTGGAATGGAAATATTTACTCAGAAGACGTGTGAATGATGGTCTATTTGTCATCTTGATACAGTTCAAGTTGAACACTTTTATGTACACAATATTTATTATGCATCATTATCCCTTGGTGTTAAGTCTAGTATATATTTTACTTGCCTTATTTTTATGAATTTGCATCAGAATTTCACAGTCCACCTCCAAGAAGAGCACGTAATGATTGGTCCCCAGGGAACGGCCTAGAGAAAGCCCCAATATCATAAGTAAAAAAACAGGATACCCTCACAAAGAGGTATTTATACCATATTATATTGGCATTATACACCGACCCCAATTATGGTAACGATAAAATGAAATTATTTAATAAAATAAGAAAAAAACTAGTACTCGAGACTTTAAACTATGTTTAGATATGCATTGTTAGTAATCATGTTAAATCTTGTTATTTGCCTTAATTACTTCTAAGTTTTATGGGATGTCAGCATTAGACATTGGTTTGATAATCTAACATACATAATTCATTTATTCCTCTGGAATTTTTGAACAAATAACCAATCACTTAAATCTATATAGTAGAGAAACTGTATATACTAAATCTTACCCAACATTCTTTCTAAGACAACGCTTTCTGTCGCCGTGTAATCAATCAGTTTAATGCCTTCCCACGTCGCCTCTGCACGTATTATGGCGTCGTAGAATACGCTCTCTGGAGTCTTCTCATTCTTAATATTTAACATCTGCCCTAGCCTAGTAACAATCATACATATATCCTCAGGTAATTTTATGAAATAAGGGTTCTTAAATAACATCGAACCAGGTGCCTGAATAGTAGTGTGTCACTGTATAGTTTAATCAAAATTCTCAGAACTTTTTGAGGGATGTTCTTATTCCAACTAGCTTGTTTTTTAGAATGCATGCCAGGTAAGACTTAATTAAAAACAAAGAACAGGGTCACTGTATTATTTACCTATACTGAATATCAATGACCGGGCACTGATAAAAGAAGTCGACCACTCTGACGATGTCCCCCAGCCTGTACCTGTACATCCCCCGCATGTTGGTCAGTACCAGCTCGTAGTCACGGCCTTTGACAACCTGGTGAAAGATAACAAATACTTGTAGCAAAAACAATAAAAATAAATAATGGTGATTATAATAATAGTAATAGGTTCAGGATTTTGCTTGGTAATTGAAATATTTGTTGCAGCAATGACAATTTTCACAAGAAGGACATACATTGAATTGATATTTTGCAAAATGAAAAATGTTTTCTTCTAAGCTCTAATTATGTACGTTATTATGTTCACTTACGTCACTATTGTTGCTGAAACACACTTCAAACAGGCATTGCGACTTCTTCAAAATCTCAACAAACGCATTACAGAAAAAATAGTAGCTTTCCAAGTTATATCTTTTACAATGAATATGGTTATATGACATCTCACCTGATGCATAAGCAAAGTGTCTGGTTGTTCCTCTTTACAGTTCTCTGCTGGTATAAACTCATAGAAATTCCACTGTGGAAGCATGACATACGAATCATCGGCAGACATGGAAAAACCTATCATGCCCTCAGAAGCCAAATAAAGAGAGTTTCTAATTGGAAGACCTTTCGCATATTTTTCTTCTAAAAGCTTGGCATAATTCATATGACTTCCTGAGCGAATGCAACCGATTCGCTCAACAAGGGGCCATATGCGACTTACTATCCCTTCAAATCCTTTACTGAACTCTGCTCTCAGTTCCATTGCTCTCTGTGGATCCGGTGATAACCGCTGGTTCAGGTCAGATCGAATGCTGTCATCAATAGAGAGGGAAGGATCTATCTGCCCCTTTTCAATGTCATCACAAATTTGTTTCCAATCCTCTTCCAGAACTTTGAAGAAGGTGTAGCCCATTGAAGCCATAAAGGTATCAACCACGTTCACCTCTCGCTCTCTCGCGCCAAAGACGGCATGTATGTACATCGTTTCCCTCTCTTTGATATGCCCCAACTGAGCCGACAACGGGGTAGTTGTAAAAGGATAGCTTGCCCCTAAATAGTTACTGATCGATCCCCTCGGCAAACCCTGCTTCCGGTCAGCGGGTGGCGAGCTGCCACGAACATAGATGACTCGCTTCAGAGCCAACATATTCCAGTAATCTACTCCTTTGTAAAAGTAGTAACAAGCAGCATCGAAAAAGAAGCGCCCTTTATAATCCTCTAAAATAGGCAGTCTCTTGTTTCTGCCGGTGGTTCCACTTGTCATAGCGAAAAATACCACTTTTTGGGACGACAGGACATTTTCCTGGCCGTTATCTATCATATCAATGTAGGGTTCAAAGTGTGCGTAATTGGTCAGAGGGTGTGATTTGATGTACTCATTCGGAGAACTGAACGCCTTGAAGTTGTATTTCCTTCCGTAAAGGGTTTCAGCATTGCGCCTCATTACGCTGAAGAAGACATTTCTCTGTGTGTTTTGAATGTCTTTGGACATTTTTTGCAATTTTGGGAAAGATAGCTTTCCTACTATTATCATGAGGACAACAAAGAGATACTGGACCAGGAGGCTGGTGAGCGTGTGTGATGATGACGGATTTCGTCGAGAGATGTCCAGACAAACTATGCTGCACAGGGCTGCAGTGGTGGCGCAAAGAGCTAGAAAAACATTTGCATACAGAAACATCATTCCACTAAAAGTCAAGCGTTATAAATATCACATATATATTAACGCTGACACAATATTCTAAATCATTTTCTTAGTTTTGTTTTCTTGGTATTTAAATGTAGGGAACACGTATGCGAACTTGTTTGTGTTACAGTGACTGATGCCTGTTGCCCCGGTATGCGATGCTACGTGATATCACGATTAAAAACCACCCCCTTAGAGCAATAAGGGTTTTTAAAAAGAACAATAGGGTTAAATAAAAATGCTCTATTTAACTAGTCTTGAGATATAAGAGGAGACATAAACATCTTTTCAACTTGCGATACAGAATTTAAATTGCAACCGCTCACGCCAGCGATATATTTCTCTTTAAATAAATTATTTTTCTCAGATTTGACGTACAGGGTATGTTGTTCCCACCAAATAATAATCTGTTCTACTTCCCTAAGTCTAGTACAAATATTGTTTAACATCCATTGCTTAAGTCAGGTACCGGTACCAGTATGTCAATGGTTTTGTGAAAATTATCATAGTAAAATAGCGAAAAACGAATATATTTCCAATCCGAAAATGATTCAGGAAAAAGAGATATATTAGCACTTCGTGAGTAAAAAAAAAAAATAATGGAAGTCAGGTTGACTTGTTACAGAAAGAAAAGTTTGCTGAGATCTTGCACAGTCTGTGACTTACCCGTGCAGACACAAAGCGTCAAAGACGTGGAATACAGTTCTAAAGTCTTGTGGCATAACAGAGCTGCACAGACGGCAAATATTACCCCACTTCCGAGAAATATAGTCCTCCATGATGCGTGTTTTCCTCTCACTGCCATGATAACTGCTGGCAGAAGGGGGCGTTAAGTTTGTATTATATAACTAGGTCATTGCTTGAATCACAAGGATTGCATGGTGCCCCCATACGACAGGATCCTCTGTTCCCGTAAGTTTATCTGTTAAGTTTATCAATATGTGCATAAATTAAGTGGGGCAATTCCCGTATCATGCTGCGTCTTGATTCAAGTTTCGAAAAAAAAAACATTGCAAATTATGCAGTCTCTCAGTGGGGGATGCATAATGGGCCCACGACAAAAATTGTACATGTATTGGGTGTGGCGCTGTATAATTTTCTTTTTGGCTCAGAATCTGTCAGCAAAAATATGAAATATGATAGGCTCTTCTGCTTTTTTCATGCCTGTTGAGGGCCATAACTTTGCAACAAAGGGGGCAAATATTTAAACAAAAAGATAGTGGTGGATTTACAAATTAAAAATTGAAATGCCTTATTGACATCTAAAGCTCAAATGGGCATTTACCTGATTAAAAATTGTATTTCTGGGTATGTACTACGCAGTTCTCTGATGCATTATAACTTCAAAGAGAAAAAACTCTTAGAACAACTGAATATTCACTCTAAAGTATGAGTTTTGACGTGTGTGGGATGGGATGGGATACTATATGCGAGTTACTGACCTTCTTGGTGTGATTAAAACCTCCGCTATTTTCGAATGTTTCGATTTATTGGTAATGTTTTTTAAGCTGGTAGACACACCACGTTCTACTTTGGTTTTTCAGTTAGTTCTTTGATATTATACTGTACAGTAGACTACTGAAAACTCGTGCTAACAGCTTTAATTGGCAGTGTTTATTTATTCATTTATTATTTGTACACGTTTTCTAAAAACAACATTTAATATTTTAAACTGTTTTTTAGAAATAAGGTTATGGCAAGCGATCTTTTTTATTTGGTTGATAATTAACAGGAGCATACACTAATTAAAAACAATAGAGATTATTAAAAACTTAGATAAAAGAAAAATTGTCTATTAGAGTCATATTTTGAAAAGTCGTCATTTCCATAGTGAGTAAAGAGTCCTGTCTGACTTTCAGCGCCATTCCCCGTCCTGGTGGTACCACATAAACCATTGGTAAGGCATGGTCAGTTGTAAGCCAGCAGAGCTGAAAGAGAAGACCCGAAATATGAATAGTAAATAGTTTGATAGGGAGAGACAATGATAATAAATCGGCATCATGTCTACATTGCGAATAAAAGAAAACAAAACGTGACAATTATAAAATTAATTAATCTATTTATTTTACAATTTTAATAAGCGGTATTTGGATAGTAGACGCACTTACTCTACAATTATTCCGAGCTCTTTAGCAAAATCTTCATCCTGGAAGAATGCGACATGTTCATTGTTGATAAATATAGAAGTATTTAAAATGAGTCGATGAACTATCTACGTGTCTGCTTCATAAGTTTGTCTCAAAGCTTTTAATTGTTTTGTTTTTTTTTCATCTGTTACGTAATGATTCTCGATCCTATTGCGTTGGTGCCTATCAGTCAGTAAAGTGACTAAACCTATTAAGTAAGATTGCATACGAAAGAACATCAAAATTAGAAATTATAATTAAAATTTGAGAGGATTTTGATGGATTTTTCTTACTTGCTCCTTTCTGGCCCTTTCAATACGGCCCTCTATTATTTCCCACAACTCTATGCCGCACACGTCCAAGGTGGTGACCAAGTCAAAAAACTCTCTGGGGCTTTTTGTTTGCTCAGCATAAGACAATTTTTCTACATCAGTGAAATGAACTTTCCGCGGCACACTAGGGATAAAACAATAAAAATATAACAGAACGTTTTCTCATTCTTTAGTTTTGCGATGAATTCTGCGCGCGTGCCTCCAGACACCATGCAGCTACCTTTGTTTATATTAAATGTGGTTATGTAAGAAACGTTTAAGTTTTTATTAGTGGATATAACATTGACAAATATTTTGATTGAAACACGGGTTACTTACCAGACTTCATTGGCATCATCGGTCTGAATAAGAAAAGTGTCAAATGTATGTAATCGTTTTAAAAAGCTATACAAGTTAAATTTTAATTAATAAGTGGGCCAAAATGACATGTAGGCCTATGCTAGACCATCTCTATGTTTGCTGGAAATGGAGGGAAATGTTATCACATTCTATATACTTAGTTCCGATTCAGTCGCTTTTGTTGTCAAATCTGAAACGTATTTATTTGACTTTTGTATGCTTACCTTAGAATCGATGTTCCTGTGCTTGATAAATTCACTGCAGCATTGAACTGCAAAAAACGCTAGGTAAGAGAGAACAAACATTGTCAACAAATCCGTTACTCTTTTAGCAAAAAAAATTGCCAAAGCAACCATTTCGTTGTTAAGACACTGACGTCATAAAGCTCTTGAAAGATGTCACAAGAGAATGTCGACAATACACGTCATGACGTCAAATTGTAATAGGGCTCAGATAGGAACTAAAACTCATATAAGCTTTGTCCAAAAAAAGTAAACTAGATATCCCTTTGTGTCAAAATGGGCTATATTCTGAGCAAATATACAGACACAAAATAGCACAAAATATTGATTGCAATAAGTTAAACATACTAGCATGAATGTCAAAATTGATAGAATCAGTGGCTTGATAAAACATCACTTCAGATTCATCGTCGGTACGGCGATTTATCGGTCAAGGAATTATCAACATCCCTCCTCTTCCCATAGTGATGAGTTTTGTGGAAGTGGTGTATCAAGGGGATATTTACCTGCATGGTGGAAGACGCACATGAAGTTTTTTTTAATTAAGTACTGTATTTCAACAACAAACGGATTTTCGTCATATCTGCTTGTGTGCTGAACGTGAACATTCGTGAACAGTTTCAGCCACAACCTCTCAACTAAAATGAGTGATACCTGTTGTGATTTGCATGACAATAAGAAGCTCAGCGCTGTGCGAGCTGTCGTCCAGAATACTCACTTGGCAGTTGAACTCAGTTGGATGAAGACGCAACAGTATGTGTAGTGCTGCAGCATGCTTCAGGTCGGGTTTTTATAAGAGGTTGAAGCAAATACATCGTTTTGTAAGTATCACTACTTCTTCAACGGCCTCTGCCATTAAAAACTAAAGGCGCAGACGAATTTACGGCAAATATTCATAACACGACCTTTTGTAATATTACTTCAATGTCACTCAGAATATCAGAATGTCATTGTGTTGGTTTTGATTATAAAGCTTTGGGACTGCAGGTACACAGAAGAAATGATACTCTGCGCATATCTTTCACCCCATTCTCATAGATTAGATCGACCTACATTGGATCGACCTAACTCCCTGGGGGTTCACGCTAAATAGCTGTCAGCCGGGCGGACACGAAAGTTAATCACCACTTGCAGCTTGTAGTAGGCGGGGACGGACACTTAAGGCGGATTATCTGACAGTAATCTAGTGAGACTCCCCGCGGTGATAGATCGATCTAAAAGTTGTGAGAACAGAGCCTTTGATGAAAACTTTAGTTTGCACGATTTTTTTACGTCTGCACATTTTTAGTTCTGTTTGAACGTGTTTTTAGGCCCTACAAGATTTAAAGAGCATTTATGACTTAATTAAGAATGTTTTAATTTAGATGCAAGTATTTCACAAAGAACACCGACTCATTAAGATAATAATGCTTGTCAGAGTTGTGAGGTATTGATCCCAGGATCAGTGTAGGCCTACTCCTTCAACGTGTACTCCAATTTCATGTTTAAATTTTATCAACGATTCAAACGTCTGAAGGTTATCATGGTAGTTCAAAAAACTTTTAATTTAGATAATCTTAAAGCTAATTTTGATCTCTTTCCGATTTCATTCCTTTTTACTATTAGTTACTATTAGTTTTAAATCAGTCTTTTATAAAATTCAATTCGTTTTGTTTATCTTTTAATCTATAATGTTTGAAAGCAGCACTGAGATCTTTGTGCGGCGCGGTTTATCATCATTATTATTATTATTATACAGGCGCAAGATTACAGATAGCCATGATAGATCTCATATATGTTTCAGGAGAGACATGGGCGATCCGCTTTTGCTTAAGATTGACAGGCTCTTGAAGATCTTTTTGTAAGATAAGTATGCTTTATGTTATACAACACGCGCAAATACACTCACATGTCAATTATTCATTACATAAGAGTCTTTTACGCTTCTCTGAAATACGCCAAACTTTTACCCCCTCCTTGCAATGCGTGATACATACTGTTTATAGATGTTTGAACACTCAGAAGAAAGTGCAATTTATATGGTGCAAACGGCCGAAGTAATAACTTCCACAAGTGGAAGACTTTTTGTTTTCGGCGCTTTTTAGTAAGATATCTTATTAAGTAATATCATTAACTCAATACAGGCCATACAATTTGGCATATTGCAAACTCGATCTCAACCATTTTTTTTTACTGTTCGCTGAGTCTGCGCTTCGAGCAAACCAATGGGCACGCACATCATTTAAATAATCAGCGTATTTTCCTCTGTTAAATATTTTAATATGTTATATTTTAATATTTTAATATTAAAAATGCACGTGTCTTATGTTAAGAGTGTGTTCGTTTAATAAAGAATTGTAAACATTTTCTCGTTTCAGAAGCCTGCCGTACCGTGCAACGTGCGCTTCCAAGCAATCTTGGTAATTTTGGTTCACATTCAGGAATTCATCGTACTTACATGCATCAGTTGTATCAAAATTGAATAAATACTTTTATAATTCCCTGTTTTTTACTTTGCTTTGAAATAAGGACGATAAAGATAGTGGTTATAATAAGGAAAATGAATTGCATTACATAGATTTCATAAGCACCAAATAATGGAATTTGAGCATTTAAAAATGTCTTAACCCGCTGAAAATTGTATTTCAAAGATTTACAATTTTATAAACACACATTTACTATCTTGCTTTTTGAAATTTTGTTCCAAATTTGTCATGTACCAAGCTAGTCTTTCTATCCCATGGAACGAAGGCGTTCATCCTCTTGGATATCATTTCTTCAAATTTCTTGATATACCTTTTTTGTACTGAAACCTTATATTTGACAAACAAACTTTTTATACCTAAATTTCAAATTTGAAAGAATGAATAAAAGAAAAATTCTTTAGCAACATTAGGACCACGTTTTTTAAATGGAGATTGAAGTTTGCCCACGGATGAGGCCAATATATATTCAGATGGTATATGATTGATAGAATTTTGCAGTCTCTCTTCTCTCCAAAAATTGGATTTAATTAAAATATCTTAAATAGATTTCCAATTCCCTCGTTTACGTCTTATTTGACTTGTTTGAATTCAGATTCTCCCAAATGTGTAGTCAATAACGTTCCATTTTCATTTAATTGTGGAATCAAATATTTTAAGATCAAATTATACAATGTCTCATTGTCTGCCAAAAGTTCAAATCCCTTCCTAAAAAATTGCCAACATCTTCATTTTTGAAAAATGAATGTTGTCTTTGGTATGTGGCCCTGCATTTTAATATATGGAGTTTCATATTTTGTTTCTTTCTTTTAAAAATTATCGTTGAAATTATCATTTTTAATTTGACTGTTTTTGTAACGTTCTTTTGTGATTTTGCTTGGCATTTCTTATTTGGAATGGATTCACGCCACCTACCACCCCTCTCATGGAATGGACTCGCCCCTCCTGTCACCCCTCAAATGGAATGGACTCGCCCAACCTGTCACCCCTCAAATGGAATGGACTCGCCCCACCTGCCACCCCTCAAATGGAATGGACTCGCCCAACCTGTCACCCCTCAAATGGAATGGACT